CAGTTTTTGTGTACAGTGGGCCTCCTGTGCAGTGTAATAAAAATACCAACCATCATATATGTTGTAAAGTGAATAGTTCATACATTTTGTACATGATAAACTTCCATGCAGGTTTCATAGAACATTGTACTTTTGTTTGCAAAATTAAGTAAGTATGTATATAATTAGTATAATAAGTAATGAAATTTGACATGAAATCTATATGAAAGTGGCCATAGTCATGCAAGATGTTCTAGTTTAGAAAGTAAAACTTTTAGAAATTGTACATTCAACAAACCATTTTGCAACAATGGAGGTAAAATGCCTGATAAACAAGAACAATTATCATTCTCATTGTCATAACAAGTCTATATAGGCCTAGTTCTGAGCTAGATGGTAAAAAACACACTTATAAAATGTTTTCATAAAACCCTTTTGAATCAGTACTTACTATACTTTGGGTGCAGGCATGAACAAGTCTCTCCAGCTGTGTTCTCCTTCCTCACCCTTGTCTTTCAGTCATGAAGAAAGATCTACTCGGGTGTTCATATAAACCTGTATAGCCTTGTTGGCGTGCATCCAATCAACGTGAGCAATAGCTGCTCAAACCGGTCTGATGTTTGATATTTCCACAGCTGGCCAAACTACATCACATTACATCAGTGGTGGAAAGTAGCAAAACTACAGTTACTCAAGTATAATTCTGGGGTACTTGTATTTGTCATGGCCCAGCTGGGGCTGTTTTGTTCCCTGTGTTTCCCTGTTGTGTTCCTGTCAGTTCCCTATTTGTTTTTCTTTTTTTGTCTGTGCTTGCATGTGTGTATCTGGGAGTGGCATCATGTTCCTGTTCCTGCAGTAAATCACCTGTACACCTGTTTCTCATTCTCTCTCTTATTTTTCACATTGCAACAGGTTGTAAAATGAAATTTTGTTTGTAACTCCCTTCTACTACATAGCAGACAATACTCAGTTATACAAAAGCAATCATAAAATTATAAACAGAAATAAAGTATATTCAACTGAGCAGTGCTGGATGAATTTGAGTTTAAAACTCTGATAGCTTGGTAGGAAAAGCTGCTCTGCAGTCTGGTGGTGCTGCAGCAGAAACTTCTATATCTCTTCCCAGAAGGCAGCAGTGTGAACAGGCTGTGGCTTGGGTGGGTACTGTCCTTTAGCACCTCACCTCACCGATATTACTGATGGTCGGGAGGTGGTCACCACTGATCTTGTGAGCAGTTTTAATCACCCGCTGCAGAGCCCTCCGGTCCTGGGCCGTGCACATCCCATGCCAGTTTGTGATGTTTCCAGACAGAATGCTTTCTATTGCTCCTCTGTAAAAGCTGACAAGAACTTGGCACGGGAATTTACAAACACACTAAATTCCTCCAAACAGAAACAAGTTAGAGTGATGACAGTGTGGAAAAGGAGCAGGATAATTTCACCTCAGCAGACGTTTACAACAAAATACTGATTTTCAGGTATGAAAGTTACTTTTTGGATCTACAGTATTTTTCTTCTGCTGTCTAAAGTTTAGATGACTTAACATACATTTTATCTCTACTTATTTTTCAGTGTTACAATTGTCCCCAAACACCACCAAGGGGGCAATTGTAACAATTTGACTTCTTGCATTTAAATTAAAATTATAGTCTTGTCCTTATTTCATTTGTATTATTTACTAGTGCGCCTATATATGTTTTGTGTCTCGAAAGATGACTAGTGTACTTTTTTTAGTCTGTGACTTATGAGAATGAAAATGTAAAAAATGTTACAATTGCCCCCGGTCTCCCCCACATCATGATTCCAACAAAGGCCTGTGCAAAATATTATCTATGACCTTAGGATGAAACCTAGAGCTTCTGCTCCTATGCCTGGCTCTGTCTCTTTAATGCTTGCCCCGCCCACCTATGTGATGTCACACCAATGAGGGCATGCCATTTTTACTATGGGATTTCACAGCTAGTGCTCAGCATAAAAAAGTTTTTATTTTCAATCATGACGTGACAAAATAAACCATGTTATATAATACTGTCGCATTTTCACCTTACATCCCAAGCACAATTAATTCACCATTATCCCCCACGAGACCCCTCGGCTGGGCGGGGCTTGTTGTCATGTTTACGCCTAAACCAAAAGTTGTGATTTATTTACATGCCGTCTCTCTCTTTCTCTCTCCTTCCTTCCTTCCTACCTTCTGCTGCAAGTTTATTTATCGGGTCGAGGCAATCTTTGCCAGACTATGGCCTTCTTCGGATTAACAAACATGGGTTATAAAAACCCAATAGGCGATAAAATGATAGTGAATGTCAGAGGAGCGTCTCATCCTCAGGGTAAGAGGAGCCGGACTTTGGCTAATAACGGTTAGTTACCGTTAGTTAGTCACTGTCAGCGAGGGTCTGATCGCTGAAGCCACAGCATAGACTGTATATAAAAAGAGCTACAGCCACTGAAAAAGTTGAGCCTAGCTTACTGATAGCTAACAAGAATACTTTTTACTTCTTTAAAAGTCTTCTGGAAAACAGGAAGCTAAATGTAGGTTAGCGCAAACGTTAACCGGATTAATAACACTGTCCAGAGCAGGGTAAGTTAATGTGATGTGAAATTGCAGGTTGCTGTTTGTTGCCCTGGAGGAAGTTACCATAACAACATGTGGAAGACTGTTACTTATACTATTTAACTTTATTTAAGCAGGTATTTAACGTTTAAGTTGTCTTTAGGGCTATTACAGCTAACGTTAAAGGTAGGTTGTGGTAGAAAATAGTGAAAAAGTGCCATCCGCCCAAGGAGTTGTGGCCAAGTTGCTTATTTTTGTCTGACCAAAAGTCCAAAACCGTACAAAGTCAGTTAACTATCACAGGAGAGAAAGAAAAGCTGAAAAATCCTCACTTTTAAGAAGCTCCAAAAAGCGGATGTTTGCCATTTTTAATGAAATAATCAATTGTTTCTCAAAATAGCTGCAGATTATTTTCTGTCGATTGACTAATTGAGTAATTGACTAATCGCTTCAGCTACAGATCTCTTTTTCAAGAGAGACCTGAGAACAAGAACCATTCAGAGACAACCACACAACCAGCATACAAGAACAACACATATAAGGCCAGACAACCAGCAATCAAGTGACAAAAGCACTACACTCATGGTAAAAATACAAGTTAACAACAACAAACCTTGTGTCTTTTATAATAGCCACAGGTTTATTAATGTAATCAAAATAATTGTCAGTCTATGCTATAGTAACATATCCTATTACAGATGGTGGGATTAACATCAGAGAAGGGATGCCTCCATCTCCTCAAGAACAACAAGAACCCCTCCGATGTAACGACCCATGCAACGTTTACCACCAGCCTCTTCCCTACAGCACTGACATACACCATGGGAGCTATGAGCGATACAGGGAGATGGTCAAACGTATTCAAACACCCAGATGTGAGTAGATCTACGAAGGATCCAAATCACAGCTGTATTTCTGGTGATAAGAAGGGATGAAAGTGAGATGTTGAAAGTCTCTCTCTCTTCTCTTCTCCAGCCCCCAAGCAGCTGTACGTGATGCCTCTAACGGACAACCAGCAGTATGGATGGATGATGTCCAAGAGTCTGGAACCATGGACCCAAGTCAAGCGGTTTCCCCGAAAGAACAGTGAAATGACAAAGTAGGCAACACTTCAAAGAAATCTAATATTGTATTATTTTAAGATATAATGTAGATCTATGCGTGAGTAATCCACTTGTTGCTTTCACAGGTTTGTTAAAGAAATGTCAACGACAGACCGGGAGTTCACCCTGTTCTGACAGCCCTCTCCATTTGTTTTCTTCTTCAGTTAGCGCACACACACACACACACACACACACACACACACACACACACACAAGAAGCAGCATCTGTTTTATGTGAAGCAGATCCACTTTTAAAAAAACAAATCATTGTAAATTGTATGTTGAATGTTTTTATCCAAAGCTACTTACAATTACTATATATGTTAAAGGTCGCACATCTCTGGAGCAACTAAGGGTTAAGTGTCTTGCTCAGGGACACATTGGTGGATGTGTTGCAATGGGAATTGAACCGGGGTCTCTCACGCACTTGTGTTATCCACTGCTCCATTGCCATACGTGTTTTATAAAGAAAATGTGGTGGTGTAAATATATAAAACACCGCTTTGTGCAGTGCACCCCTCTCTAGGGGCCCAGACCCTTAGAGCAACTACTGGAGTGGTTTGTAGAGATAGTGAGATTGTACTGCTGTCCAGAGGAAATTAATATAACCACTTCTGAATTGTGGAAGCTAACGGTTTTCATGTGAGTTTATATTTCTGGCAGAATTCAGTTTAGTAACTGGACTATGTGACATTCCTTACCTTATATACAGCAAGTACCCAAACGGTCTAAAACCAGGAGATGTAACAGGCAGTGTTTGCAAACAGTTGCTCTCATTTACAAGCAAGAAACATTGAGCTTTTCCGGGACATCAGCTGCAAAGAAATCATGTTATACATTATTCCTCCGGAAGAAATATTTAGCTGATATTCCAGTGTAGAAGAATTTAATTCTGAAGGGACGCGGGCTCTTATGTCATCTGCTTCAAAAAGAGAGGAGGGCAAGAGGACCGCACTGGATTAAGGGCTGTCAATTATATCACAGTTTGATGAAAACTGGTGGGACCAGCGACATCTGCACTGACAGCAAACACCACCCTCTGTTGAAATTTATAGCCTATAACCCTGCCTGTTAAAAAGAAACATGTATAGCAATTGCAAGTCGCGATAAAAGCGTCAGCTAAATGAATAAATGTAATATACGTTATAATAGTGCTATTAAGGTTTGATACAGTCAGCAAACACAGAATCTCAATGGGTGCTTTTGACTCTAGCTGTGGTTATCAAGTATGTGAATATTGACAAGTAAACCACTGACCGCAAAAACGAAGTAATTGCAAGTCACTGCAATTTATGACGGGCCTCTGTTCCTATAAGCAACAGGTAATACATATTTACACCAGTAAATATATGAACACACAAAACAGCCATTGATTTTTTTTTATTTTTTTCTTCAAGGGGAAATGTTATTTTTCTCTTTGTCATAGTCCTCAACTCTTCTTGTCCTTCAGCTTCACAGAACATTCCCCTTTCAATCCTCCAACTCAGGGAAAATACAAATAAAGCAAAAACAAATACGGAAGGATTCATCAGGCCTGAGAAAAACACTGTTTCAGTAGTATGGGGACAACCTTCCTCCCGTCTCGTGTTCCCCCCAAAACATCCCAAGAGTTAACAATCAACACAAGTCTATGGACAGCCAATAGAAATAGAATACATACAATGCACATTTTTATAAACTCATGTCCATTCTATAAACTCTTTGCTTATATGAATCACTCTTCATTGGTCACAGTTCACTTGATAGTTGGTGATCTCCATTACATTGCTGTCCTCTGGTGCTCCCACCACGCCCCGAGGCCATTTATCATTGCACAGGAGGGACCAAATAGCACAAGGCTGTGTGAGCTGGCTTTGGTACAAACATGATCAACTGTTGGTTGCCATTGTTGAGTGTGGCGGAAGAGCTAAATCAGAGCAGATTCTCCCAATTACAAAAGTCGAAGCCGGAGAAATCATTGCAACGGTGAGAACGTTTACTGAAAATTATTCACGACAAGCCCTTATCCCTTTCTCTCGGTCCAAACATCAGCAGTCCAGATAGGGCAAGCAGGCACGGTTCCTGTGTTCGTCAATAATTTGTTTTGTATTAACTTAAGGCAATCAAACTCAGTTATTAATACTTCCACTTTTCATTGAAAGACTGAGCAGGGCGGGGGGGGGGGGGGGGGTTATTTGTAGGTCTACTAATTCTGCCTTGTACTCCTTACATAGTGTAAATACCAGGGATGTAATTTGTTAGTACTGAGAAGTTAATGTGTGGAAGGGAGTGGTCACCATAAAGCCTGACTGAGATTTACAATACTGCAGTAGTGGCATAAATAAAATAAAAAGCACAGTGAATCATCTGTATATGTGTGTGTGTTTACTCCTATGCTTATGTGAGCATACACCACTCAGGTTCTGCTGCAAAGGCAGCTAACGGTTATTACTTGCTATACATGATCACACCTATTGCCAGTTGAAATACTGTATTGTACATTAGGATTGAACAGCAGAATTCATTGGCTGCAGTTGATCAGTTGGTACCAGTGAGCTTGAGCTTTACAACTGGCATTTTACAAGAAAGCGTGCTGGTCTTTGATCCTTTTTCATTGGAATGGAATCATCATAATAAGCATAATAATTAATCAGAATCATCATAATAATAATAATTAAACAACATTAAGAATATATAAATGATGGATACAGAAGTGATACAAAATACCCTACGGTAAAACAAACAAAAATGAAAACAACATACCACAATCAGACATGCTTCAAAGCGGTTATGTTTGGCAAGAAAGCAGTTTTGTTGTATCATAAAAACCTCACAGTGAAAATAGTTATGCCCCTTCAGGATTACAAAGCACAGTATTCAGTCAAAATCAATATGTATTTCTTTCCTTCATCTATTTCTTCTTCACAGAAGAATCAGGCTGTGTGGTACCACTGCGCTGAAATCCAAGGTTTTCCTCCCTGATGGCTCTGGAACAACTAGCTGATCCAAGTTTCGTTTATTTCCATTTGCACCAAAAATACTTCTCTGAAAGGGAAGGAGCAGCCGATGACAATATACTGTTACGGCCGAAACCAGCTCAAGCTCTAAGGAACCAATGTGACATGAAGTGAGGATGATCCCCGCTGAAGCTACTTCTATTCCTCAGAGAGTGGAGATATAAAATATAGATTTCATATATCATCTTCTTATAACATCCTTAGTCGTCTTTAGTAATTTTGTTTAGAGATTGAGGGCAATATCATAATTTAGAGTTAAAGTGATCAGCTCTTTGCTGCCTGACTGACAGACAAAATAAATTAATTGTACATATTTTATGAAAGCAATGAGCAGCCTTTGCTGCCAGCAGTTGGGCAAAAAGACAGAACGTTCAGGCCTTCTGCCTAAAAACACAAGTGGTGATATCAAACATGTCTTGCCTTGCTTTTAGTAAATACTTTAGTCTTTGGTCAATATATTCCTCCTCATTTTATACATATATTCATACACACACAAATATGCATGTACATACACACTTATGAACGTGTAATAAACTGGATATTTGTGCACGTATGTATTCACACATTTTCATAAAGGACCTTTTGCACAAAAAATTTAGATAAAAAATAAATAATTAATCCAGAAACAAAACATGAGTACCTGTTCATAATTCATGTGAAATAAAAATTACCGGAAAGAAAAAAACAAAACAAAACACAAAGTAAAATAAAAAGTAGCCTTATGTACAGCGTTAATCTTCTTTTGACACAGGCTAAAAGGCGTTGTTTTAAATAAACAGACTTTGCATCTTTCAAGAAGCCTGAGAGAGAGGCTAGACATGAGAAAAACACTTGTCCTTCAACATGTATGTGGGCCAAAATGGCTGTCAAACGACAACATTATCCTCTCATCAAGAACACTTTCCTTTTGAAGTCTTAAAAGTTTTTTTTCCTCTCTGCTTGGGATTCAAGTGAGTCCTTGCTCAGTGGTGCTGTGTCCTTGCAGTGGGGATCATCCCAGCATCTGCTGCTGCCATGGCTGCTAACTGTTGGGCGGTCCATCATTCAGGAAGTAGGTTGTCATTTCGCCTTTACCTTTGACCTTAACCACCCCACGACACTCCAGCACGTACCCTTTGCTTGCAAGCACCGGGTGGAGGTCTGTAGTCACCTGTGAGCAGAACGGAAAAGGGCAGATTTATTTGAAGCTGTGTAAATATTTAACTAATGAAATTATGGAACAATGCGTTTTTTTTAAATGCGATTAATTCAGGGTCACAGAGAAGGCTCAGTTGTGACAGAGACTGTTCATTATTTAAAAAAACATTTATTGTCCTAATTTTCATTTAGAATTTGCTGGTAGAAGGTTCCTCATTTCAGCTCTTATGATACTACAGTTGCTCCAGTTGGTTGGAGAAGTAAAGTTACGTTTATTACAAAATCCACAAAAATTATGTAATTAAAGCTGCTGTAATCAATTCATTAAGACCAACTGGGACCAAAAGGGCAGACAAATACAGTTAGCGACAAGCAGGTAAACATAGTGGAGCATTTAGCAGCTAAAGAGCCAGATATCAGGAGTTTTTAGAGACATGGGGAGTAAATATTGGACTTAAATTTGTCTAGTAGCCAGAAACACAACTCTAAATGAATGCTGATCTGGCTCCATATCTGTTGGATGTGTAAGTAAGCAACTGTTTGCTAAAACTTCGTGATAATGTGTCAGTGTTGTGTTTACAGCTTGCTGCACTGCATCCAAATGGCCAATAAATCAGTTATTACATTTTTAAGAAATTTACATTTTAATATGAGCAATAATGATCCTTTACATACAAATTGACATATTGAGGTATTAATTATACACTTTATTAGGAACACATGTACAGTATAATGCAGTCCAATACAACTGTTCTGACATATAATCTACTCTATTACATGTTTTAACACAGATCATAGTTTGTGGTGGTGTTGTACTGGACTGCATGTAACATGTAAACATGTAACTTAATTTATTAATTCCTGAAATCAACAAAAACTCAACATAAACTTCGTAAACATAGAATTTACGGCAAGGCTGTGGCATCGAATTGCAACACATTGCACAGGCGTACCTAATAAAGTGAATGTAAAGCTATTAAAACAATATTTAATGAGTATTTTCGTTGCAAACTTATTTTAATTCCAAAACTTAAAAAAACCCATCGACCAACATTTAATTGGTGTTGCCCTTTAAAACCTGTTAGGGCTGAATTTGAATAGTAGTTACATGAAACCCTACCTGTATGCGGTCAGGTACACCTGTGCTGTCCATACGACTTGCCACATTGACTGTGTTTCCCCAAATATCATATTGAGGCTTTCGCGCACCAATGACCCCCGCTACCACTGGTCCAATGTTCAGACCTGGGAATTAAGATAAAAACATTCAACAAACAAAGCTGTTACTGTGAAGTCATTCTTTTCTAATTCAACATGTTGCCTCAGCTTACCTATCTTCATCTGGAAGTTGTTGAAGGAATGCTCATTGATGTATTTCATCTGCTCCCTCAGTCTCATGGCATAGTCGGCCAGTGCAGTAATATGGGAACGGCCCTCCTTGTCGTAGGTGGAGTCGTTGAGACCGGAGGCCGCCATGTAAGTGGATCCAATGGTCTTGATCTTCTCTAGCTGCCTGAACTTCTCTTCACTGATGATCTGAGAACAGAGAGGGATTTCATTTGTGCAGTTTGCAAATTATTACATTTCTTTTTAAAATTTACTTAGAGCAAAGGTCAAATCTGCATTTTTCACAGAGAGAAACCATGCAGACGCAGCAGCGTGGCTCAGCAAACTTTACCTCATCAAAGTCTGCAATGATCTCGTTGAGCAGCCGGAGACACTCCACTCCCTCGTTGTTGGCCTCTAGCTCCACATAGAATTCAGAGAAATTGCTGATTGAGGCAAACATGACAGCCACACACTCGCAGGACTGGTAGTACAGCTCATCGTTACGCCGCTCACGCGCCAAGAAGTGAGCAGCTACGTCCTTAGGCAGAATATTATGGAGGAGGCGACGATTGTAGGCTTGCAATTCCTCCATCTCCTCCTTCTCCTCTGTGGCCTGGGAGTGAAGGTTCTTTATCAGATATATTCAGTCTTTATGAATGCTGTGTAATGTAACGTCTGGCATGTATTATAATACATTAATAAACCATATCACTGTGAGACGTGAGACAGCTCAATCGTCTTGTTTATGGATGGACAACTCAGAGGCTTTTTCAGAAATGTGAAGAGATTCTGTTTGTAGTTAACATGGTTTGATGGCACCCTCTGGTGGATGCCGTACATACCTGTAATTTCCACAGGAAGTCGAGGCGTGCAGTAGATTCAACCTGCTGGGCGTGCAGGTACAGTGCCAGGACAAAGACTGTGAGGATCACTGGAGTCATGACCTTCAGGGACACTTTGGTCACAACAAATGGACTGCAAAGTGATGGACACACAGTCACATTAATGGCTGGCAGATTTTGTGAACTGGGGAAAAAAAGTTTTGAAATTATAAAATAAGAGATAAAAATACTGAATGTAATCTTACCACTGGTTTGTAGTTTCATTGAAACTGGACCTAAAAGTTTAAACATGAAAAACTTCTGGTCAATACAAAAAAAGCCAATAATCATGTTAATATTAATGTATTAAAATATATATATTTATATAAATACAAATTTTAATTCTTACCATTGAGCACTAGTTTCATTTAAATCACTAAAAAGGGAAAATAATACCATTAGAGCAAACAGTGAAACATACAAAACTCATTTAACACATTCAACTGAAATAAAAGTGTATATTCAAAGTCATGGTTTTATTTGTGGCTTAAAATAGATAAAATACACATAAGGGCTGGTATGGTTTCAAAATCAACACAATAAAGTTGGAATGGTTTCCTAATGTAGATCAGGAAGTGTGTGATAAAGAAGACGTTAAAAAGATTCTGACCAAGCATTTGATGACAACTTTCGATACCCTTGAAATCTATTGATAGGAAAGAGTTTGCTGCATATTCAGTATTGAGGTTCAGTACCCAGCCCTACAGCCTCATTTTATACTGTACATACAACATTACTCTGCACCACCCATCATTAGCATCCAGCCCGTGGCACTTACATGGCATTGGAGGTGACAAAGAGGTCTGCGTTGTCGAATAGTACTACTTGTGGCCACTCCACCAGCAGCAGGAAAGTGAGCTGGATGAGCAGCATGAGGGCCAGCTTCCCTATGCTGCTGATCTGCAGGAACACTGAGCAGGCCAGCAGGGTCAGCAGCACACTGTAGCTGAAATACTGGCACAAACAGGAGAGCAGCATCACAAAGAGGTATTATCAACAATAGATCTCAGAAAGGAAAAAAGAAAACACAAATGCAAATGTGACATTTTCTCTTTGAAATGGTTGGACCAGTTGCGTAGGGAACACAAACAGTGTGAGCAGTGACATACAATGAACTCACCTCAGGAAATGGGCAGGAGGGGCCTTGGCTTGGACAGATCTCTAGACCCCCCTCAACAGACACATTCAAGCTGCGTATCAGACAGGGCGTCACCAGGGCTGCGGAGGTGTTCAGCTTCTCAGCAACGCATTCTACCAAACTCTTGGTGTCACAGGCAAACTGCAGCGCAGCCACACAAGCGTGCATTCAGCATGATTGCCAACACGTTTGGTCAGTATACTGTGCGGATATGCTGTCTCTGAGTTAGCTATCACTTACCATATTGACAAAGGCAGAGATGAAGACGAGGATAATGGTAAACACTCCAACCAGAGTGCTGTTAGTGCGTGACTGGACAATCTTCTTTGAAACAGTCTGCATTGCAGCAGGAAACAGCTAAAAGAGGAAAATAAAAAATGATTTACACATTTAACACAGTGAGTCCACAGACGTATTAGCAAAATAATACGTGTGTTTTGACAAGCTCCACTACCTTGATGCATGAATATATGGCACAGATGAAAAGGATGTTGGCAAGTATGACGAAGATACTGATGTAGATTCCCAGCATGACCGGGGTGCTGCAAGGAAGAATATAGAAACAGGGTTATAGAGAAACTACTAACCAGTTTCATTCACTTGGGCTAGTGTGAAAGCTGTAAAACTCTTGCAGACCAAACGAACGGCTAAAGACCACCTTTCGGTTCACTTCCAATTGTATTCTCATGCCGTTTGTTCGATCGCAGCTATTAACACAAATTCAACAAATCCCAGTGAATTCAGTGCGATTTGCAATTTTGACCAATCACAGCAACTTTTCCGCAAACTTGACCTATCATCACCATTTCCCGCAAAACATTGTCATATGTCAGCAAACCCGCTTCCTTGTTTACAAGACGCAGCAGAAGTATGATACCAATGTCTCACTTTTACATACAAAAATAACAGCAAAGGACCATGAAAAACAGTGTCCAGATCTTCTTTACTAAAGCAGGGTCAAATGTTTTGCAAAACGTGCAGTATCGTGGTTGAACAAAAAAGAAATCATTTATTGACAAACACTTTTCCATCGCAAAACATACGCGGAGTGGCACAAACGTATGGAGAACGTCAAACGAGACAAATCACTGTGACACAGGCTGTTGCATCCTGGTCAATTGCAAGCTCTGAAAGAATCAAGGTAAGCTGGTTTGAATATGCATGGTTAGGGTTAGGCCCGTGAAACCCTGGAGGGACTGTTACATTATTCAACTATAATTCTAAGGTTTAAAAAAAATCACATCTACCTTTGCGGTTTTCCCTTATTCCCACAATTTCATCGCAAACTCCCAAAACATCACAACTTTCATTGAATTTTTAGAAAAGCTGCCGCATAATCATGCATTTTAGACCGCAACAATCACAAAAAAGGCCCATGAAATCCTGGAGGCACGAGTTAGTAATGTGAAAGCAATGAACACGGACTACAGGACTGTGTAAGAGCAGGTAAATGTTTCTTTTAGCATGAACTCAAAAGCTAAACGTGCTGATAGTGAACGGTTAAGAAAACAATTTTGTAAGCTTTCTGTTTAAGTGATACATAATAGTAGTGATAGTAACACACATGCTTACTTTTCCCTTAACAATCAGCAAGTGAAAAGGAGTTTTCAGCTTCTTTTCAGCTGTATTTTAGCAGTTTCTACATAAAAAGTGACACACAGCCACACAGTAACTACCCACTTGTGTTATTATGGAACAAGGCGCCTTATTTTGCCAAGTTTTGACAAGAACATACGGATATAAGAGGTCCTGTTGCAGCGTGGACTAATAATTCTTGTAATCATTATTTTTGGTAGCTCACTGACAATAAACACACACACGGTTCACACATGAGATGAGAGCCACCAAAACTCAATCAATTAACAGTTAGTCTGTATGACTTCACTTGTTCATGTTCACTTTTAAGTCTGCAGCGTGAACGTGAAGCAGACTAGAATGAAAAAGTATAAATTCTGAAGTCAGTCTAAGCCAAATGAACTGACCTACAGTTGTGAAAGCAATCTTAAAAAACATTCAGTACATACTGGATGAGCTTCAGTATGTGAATGTCAAGTACTCACTGTGGAAAGATGACAATCTGTATGAAGGATATGAAGCAGAATACCAGCAGAGTACAGGCAACATAGCCTCCAAAACGATCGTCCACCTTCTTGGAATACTGCAGCAGGAAAAAGCAGAAGAAGAGAGTCGGATGTGAGCGGTTCCCTCCTCCATACGTGAATTACATTTCAGTTGAAGAAGTGCAGACGATAATTAGGGGTCTTAGTTTGAACCTTTTTCTCCAGGCTAGAAGTCTGGAAGGTGAGCAGGAACTTTTTAACGTGGTCCTTCCTGAGTTGGTCAATGCTGCGAGCGTCAATGGCTCGCCCCAGGAATTCATCCACCTCATCCTCGGGGTTCATGGCCTCCTGAACACAGCGGCTGCAACAAGATAAATGGGTTAGCGAAATCCAGTATAGTAGTGCAGCAGTTTTCACAGGTGTACGCGTCAAGAGTCAGTACTCACTTGTCTTTACTGGAGGTTTCATCAATCCCCTGAAGAAGAAAGAGAATAGACAGAAAAGATGACTCTCCCAGAAAGCTGCAGCCCGGCTCTATCACCATGAAGAAGTGTGATGATGTTGAGTCTCACCATTTGTCTGAAGACTTTGGAGTCTTTGGTCCTGGAGAAGGTTCTGTCGGGGACCCAGCGTGGCATCAGCCCCTCATTAGAGTTGGCTCTCGTCCGCTGCATCTTAGCCATCATCGCCTTCTCCTCCTTCTGCTCAGAGGGAAGAATATGAAAGCTTCACCAACTGTTCTCATACAACACTGTGAATGACAATGTAAGTGACTAAATACACCAGAGGGTTTTTTTTCATTCTGGCTTTTATTACACCCACGGGGAGAGAAAGACACAAGTGAGTTCAGGATATAGAAGATTACTTCATTCACAAATCTGTCCACTCTCATCTGATAGGATTCTGCCTCTGCGGTTCTGCTTCCTTCACAGCTTTTCATGTTACAGTTATTACACTTACACCACCACCAGCTTAAAACATCTAGATCCCACTTAGTCACTCAGCGGGGATGTGTCTGTCAATTAGTTTCAGCCCAGTTATGAGGTTCTTTTAGCCTTGATTGGAAAGCTTTGATCAATGTCTCAATTCAAATGCATTTTAAACATTTGTAAACTATGGCATGCCATTCGGGGACAAAGGTTTTAAATTGAATGGAAAACAAAAGAATATTTTATAAAATTATGAGAACATGGTTCGAAAACTTGATACTATGAAATGAAGGTTTGTAAATATTGAATGCAACTGGACACTCTTGTGTGTGTACATTGTCTACGTGTATGTTAATAAGGTTTTAATGTGTTAAATTAACCTTTATTGACAGAGATTAAATACTGATATGATTTGGAAAATTGAAAAGTTGACAGTACAGGTATGTCCTCATTATGTTGATCGAATAACATAGGCCCTTTGTTGTAGGCTTAATATCACATATATAATCTGGTGTCATCGCTGGATGTAAGCAAACATGTTTCATTTTGCAGTGTCAGACTTTTGTTTTATATTCTCAAGTTTTTTCAAATATTTATTGGTCACGTACTCATATTTTCAATATATGCAGTTAAATGTGGAGGTGGCATAGTATGCTAAAAGGAGAAAGGTGCAATAATATCTGAAATAAGGGTAAAAAATAAGAATTAGAAAAAGGACATTTTTCAAGATAATTTAGACAAAAATTTAAAAATATATCCAATCCTACTTTATTTGTAAAGCACATTTAAATCCATAAAAACTAATACAAACATAAAATAGCAACATACAACTCTCAAACTTGGTTAAAAGCCAATGAGTAGAAGTGAGTTTTTAGTCATGCTTTTAAAAACCGGAAGGCTGGGACCAATCAATTCATTCCAGAGTCTCGGGGGCCGCGACTGAGAAAGTTCGATCCCCCCTGTTCTTGAGCCATGTTTTCAGGGACAACAAGGAGTAACTGGTCAGTGGACCTTAATGACCTTGAAGGAGCATATGGCCTCAATAGATCAGCAATATAGGCTGGAGCTATCCCATGAAGCACTATAAAATCAAAGAATAGTATCTAAATGTAAATCTAAAATCAATCCTAAAACAAACTGGGTGAAGGGAGGCAAAAACAGGGCAGCATTTTGAACCAGTTGTAGTCGAGAGAGGGAGGCCTGGCTAACACCTACATATAAAGCATTGTGATAAATGCATGTATAACCCGAAATCAGTGAAATATATAGTTACTATTATTAAGATGTTAAAGTTCATCTTTTCAGTATAGGAAAAATGTAAAATATAAAAATTTTCTGGAGATGTATTTTTTTTCCCTGAACAGCATCCACAACAAACTGTTATTGAGCTGTGTGTGTGTGTTTTTATGCTCTGACCCGTTTCTGGCTGCAGCCAAGGACCAGGAAAGTCTCGATGCTGTTCTCCTTCAGATACGCATTCCTTTCACCTCCAAATCCTGGCTCTACCTCGTAGTCTCCATTAAGATACTGCAAGGTGGCTTTAGTGATGTGGATCCGCCTGCAGCGATAACAAGAAAAGGATTTTCATATAAATCCTGCAATTTAGTGCGCAAACGGGTGCTTGTTTGTTTTTTTTACTTTATTAGTATATGCACAATTACCAATTAACATGGCTCAGGGACATATACACAAATACATGAATTATAATAAATTATAATTAAAAAATATTGGAAAACATCATATGTGGTTCATGATGTCATCTTTATGATTACTGATGAATTAGTTATATAGATACAAGCTACGCAGTATGTTTTTATCAAATAAAACAAATTCTGTTGACCACCAGTACATGGCGTTGTGTTGATAGCTATTGTACATTATGATGTGTTTTTTTAATATGCAAACTGAGAGTGTGTTTGAACCTCTGGTTATTTCCCTCACCCTGCTTTGCCTCCCGCCTCCATGTGATTTGCCAGCGTGACATCATTTGACCACACATCAAACTGCCACTTCCTAAGTCCCAGCACGCCACAGTGCACACGCCCACTGTGAATGCCAACGCGCATGTTAACATTGACCCCCGTCACCTCCCGTACCAGCCTGCAGACACACAGAAGAAGATCAGTGTCTCCTCCACAGCAGGAGGGCAAACATTGGCAAAATACATTGAACAAACTAGCTCCAAAACAAACACCACACACAAATATACACATATGCAAAAACTATTTCTACTCACGAGATGGCCTCTATCATGTCAACACCCATTTCCACACAGCAGTGGGCGTGGTCAGCCCGGGGTTCAGGCAGCCCGGACACACAATAATAACAGTCACCCAAAATTTTAATACGTAGACAGTGGTTCTCCTGAGAAAGGAAAACACAGCAAGAAAAAAAAATACATTGCCAAAGTGTCCAACAGGTGTTAAAGGAGAAAGTAAATAAAGGAATAGTTGAACTTTTTGGGAAAAATACTTATTCACTGATTGATTGATTCCACTGTCATGTCTGCCGGGAGATGATTAGCTTAGCTCAAAATCCGATTATCGGCACCTCTATTTCCCAAAATGCGGAACTATTCCTTTAAGAAAACACAACACGACGTGAAGATACAGACACGAGAGAAAGAACACTGCCTGTGCTCCTTACCGATGCCAACTTGTCGAAACGGGCAAAGAGCTCATTGAGTGTCATGACCAGCTCCTGAGCCGTGCACTGAGAGGCCAGGCTGGTAAAACCCTCGATGTCCGCAAACAGAATACTGAGGACGAGATCAAGAGGTGAAAAAGACAGGGGGAGACAGAAAGAAAAACACTGTTAATCCTCAAACATGATCAAGCATCTTCATTTAGGTTTGGCGTTGACATTTTAGCATTAGCAATGCTATTGTCATCACTACACAGCAGCCGCATGATATTGCAGTATGTCACTGTCTGCTGACCTTGAGAGAGGCACAAAGTTTGACCTTTAAGACTTCTGAAGGAGATCTGTGCCAGTGTAGTGTGTGCGTGTGTGTGTGTGTGTGTGTGTGTGTGTGTGTGTGTGTGTGTGCGTGTGTGTGTGTGTGTGTGTGTGTGTGTGTGTGTGTGTGTGTGTGTGTGCGTGTGTGTGTGTGTGTGTGTTTGTATGTGTGTCTGTATGTAAGGGACTGTTTGCTCACTGCTGTAATTGAATGTGTGCTGAAGCTCTCCATCTTTGGGGATTATCTTATCTTGGCTGTTGGTGATTAAGTATTCCCTCACTAGTGTTAATTAGCCTCCACACAGCCAAACCACTCTACCCTCTTCTGACTCTGTGTGTGTGTGTGTGTGTGTGTGTGTGTAGGTGTGTGTAGGTGTGTGTGTGTGTGTGTGTGTGTGTGTTTGTGTGTGTGTACTTGTACTTCGTGCATAGTGAGGACGGGAACAAGATTTTAACAAACAGAGTGAGCACATTTTTGGGAAGTGAGGACATTTTGGCCTGTCCTCACAACTTCACAACTTCAAGGGCTGTTTAAATGGTTAAGACCTGGTTTTAATGGTTAGGGCAGAATTAGGTTTAGTTGTGATGGTTAAAATTAGGGTAAGGGACCAGGGAACGCATAATGTCAATGTCGATCCTCACAAAGAAAGAAGTATAAGGATGTGTGTGTGTGTATGTACAAATGTGTGTGAATTAGGGCTGAACAATCGTTTTCAAATCGAAATTGCAATATGAAAGAACACGATTAACTAATTGTGAAGATGGCGATTAAAATGTATATTAATTAAGTGTTTCAGCAGCGGAGCGTTAAGCCTGCCCTATGTTGTTGATGTGTTGTTAATTTGTCATTCAGTGTGCTTCAACTACCGATAACAGCTTTCTGTGAGCCTGTTTCACTCCGTTCTATGCACGGTACATCCACATGGAGCATTTCAGAATAAGAGCGTTTTGCCTACCTGTTTTTGCTGACTTGTTCAGATTTTGTTAATTTGTTCAGTTGTTGCTTTTTGTGCTTCTACTATGGTTAAGTAGGCTACATAGTTTAATAGTTTATTTTATTGTTTGTTTTAACTGTGTTTATTGTTGATATACTATCGATAGTGTGCAGAGGGTGTTTTATTTTCACAATCGACCGGATTCTCGCCATTCTGTGTCTGACTTCCTGCCCGGTTCATATGCTCTGTGCTGCTTGACGCAGGTTCCGTCAAAAACAAGCTGGCAGTGAATACTGATATATATATTAATAAAAAATGCAAATCGTAATCGTTAAATCTGGCAGAAAATCAGATGTTTTCCCCAAATCGTTGAGCACTAGTGTAAATGATTTTTAGGAAGAATTAGGGAAGGATTGTTTTGTGTTTAATTTTTTGGGATCTAGCAATCTTAACATGTATTTTCATGTTTTGAGGATGCCATGACATGACACATCTTAGTATATCACATGACATACTCTCGTTGGGCGATGTCTACAAAATTGCCATTGGACGATGTCTACAATAATCAAGCATCGGGATGGCAGAGGCTATAGCAATCATCTTATAAAGGCACATAGACTTCACTTGGTAAAAAACTTGGTATTACGATACCAAGTCTCGGACATGGTGGATATTTTACAAGCACAGACCAGGTAAAGCAACAGTGAACTACGTCATGAACAAGCCGGCACGTGGCTCACATGCTGCCATGATAACAGATCGATGGTGGAAAACTACGGAATAAAGACGAGTTCTGTGTCTTTTGTGCGAGTTTATAAAACATACTGCTGATGGAGAAAGTCAGGGGAGCAGACAGGGAGAGAGAGAGACAGAGAGAGGCGGGGCAAGCTGGTGTGTTTGCAGTAAGAGAACAGAGGTGTAGGTGTAGGAATGTGAGTTTGGGGTCTGAGGCAGGTGCAAAGCAGGTAGATTTAAAATAATAATAATGTTGGAGGGGATCAAAACTTGCTTTCACAGGGCTATATAATGTGAAAAATTAAGATGGTTTTTCTTCTTGCCGGGGGGTGGGGGGTGGGTGTGGGGGTGTACAATCGGCTCAACATTGTGATGTCTGTTAGCCATCGCTGATGGACGATGGTATGGTCTAAGAACCCAAGCCTAACCCTCATGGTAACTTAACACAAGATTTTCACCCTATTATAAATAAAACAAGGCTGATAAAACAAGTGAAATTTTAATTCATAGGTAAAAACATGAAATAAATCACTGAGGCAAAGCTGACCTGACGTTGTCGTGTTTCTGGATATAGATCTTGTGAAACATCATGTCTTCCTTCTTAGCATTGATGTCAGCCTTCATCTCCATGGCAACATGCCTTGGCAACACTGAAAGCAACAGACGCTCCTAAAAAATACAAAAAAAGAAAAAAAAATGCAGATTCATAATATTACTCTGTCTGTGCAATGTGTCAAGTGTGCAGGCACGTGTGTGTTCAGATAAGGAGACGTCTGGCAATATTCTTTATTTTTCTTTTTGTCAACAAATCCCATGAAGAAGACCAAAAACCAACAATGACCTGATCCTGTGGTATTGTCTCCGTATCCAAAGCCTTATATTCCTCTGTGCCACAGAGCTCCATTGTTGTATAAAAACGATTAAAAACAATCAATAAGCCACCCTGTCGCACTGGGGGACGTGTTCCTTCATTATGATGAATGCGAGCGCTGTAGTTTATTTTGAGTTGATTCAATATATGCCATCCCGCTGCCATAAATACTCACCTGCACACCAAATGTGCATTCATTTGTGGGTGAAAATACTGCCCAGCAAATGCATTATTTACTCCTGTTTGAGTAATCTTTGCTAAAGACTATAGTGCCCCACTGTTTCAGATTTCAGATTCAAATGGGCTTAGGGCTGAGAGCAACACACAGGGTAGGGAAGTCAGAAAAGGGCAAATAAATTGTTGGTTTCTGTCTTTTCATAGGATTTGTACACAATAACAAATTGTGGGTGAAAATACTGCCCAGCAAATGCATTATTTGCTCCTGTTTGAGTAATCTTTGCTAAAGACTACAGTGCCCCGCTGTTTCAAATTTCAGATTCAGATTTCTAAAAATAAAACTATATATTTGTGAACCATTTTTAAAAACTTACATCTAAGTAGGAACGAATGGGCTTAGACTGAGGGTAGGGAAGTCAGAAAAAGGCAAATACATTGTTGGTTTTGGTCTTTTCATAGGATTTGTTGACAATAACAAAAATATCACCAGCCTTTTCCTTTAAGTTTAAGAATAATTAATTCTTTGACAAATGTTAAAAATGCTGACTGGTGATGTACCCTCCATCTCTGAGTCCTCTGTGCTTTTTGATCGTGTTATTTCTTGTTCATGCCACTGTTTAAAGGTTCATTTATTTGAAACCAAACAGCAGATCAGTGCAGTGCTGAAAGAAGTACAGATAATAGATCCCTTACTTAAGTAAAATTACTAGTACAATAGTGTAAACTACTCCATCAATAGGATAATAATCATTTAGCTGACGCTTTTATCAAAAGCGACTTACAATTGCCAGAGGTTGCACGCCTCTGGAGCAACTAGGGGTTAAGTGTCTTGCTCAGGGACACAATGCTGGGGAGTTGAACCTGGGTCTCTCACACCAAAGGCATCTGTCTTATCCACTGCGCCGTCACCATTATTATATAATAATACTATAATATATATTTTTAATATAGATTTTAATATAGCATTTTAATATAGAGGGCCAAGGTGGAGCAAATTTTAACTAATTTGTATACTGCTAAGTTACAAATTAAGTTATTCAGTTGTTTTGTATGTAAAATCATAATCTGCAAAGTGCATGCGTATTGGTCCTGTTTGTGCATGTGTGTGTATTTTGGAGGTGTGTGTGTATATTAACAACAACAGAGTGAAAAAGTTCATCTAACACGTAATTATATGTCATATAAATGTAGTGGAGAAAATGTATTGGAGAAGTAAAAAGTCAAATGGACATACATAAGTTAGCTATTTTCCAACACTGACCTGCACACACACTCTACTTGGAGAGGTGAGCGGAAATGAGGAGCTGCACTGTATTTATATGTAAATAAACTTTTCTGCGTGAGTTGTCTAAACTGACCTCATCAAGCAGATTAAGTATTGACCATGACGTGAGCAATTCACATTGTATACAGTTTTTTTGTCAAGTCCATCAGTCACTCAGTTACGGTCATTTAATGATAGAGGGCCGCTGACTCAGTATTTAGTGCCACAACAATCCCTGGCCTCCGGTTTAAAATTATTCTGAGCGATACAGTTTTGGAAAATTTTGGAAAAGAAGGAGCACTAGTGTCAGATCAGTACTCAGCTCAAAAGTGAGGTTGTATTATTTACAAAGCTTAGATATTTACCATCAGATATTCTTGGGAGGTAGTACTGGCGTAACGGAGGCTCCTACAGACTGTGTTGCACTATGGGTTGTTTCTAGCATTCATGTTGCTAGGCTAGTTAGTTACCTTTTCCAAAAACAAGTGTTGGAAAAGTGGTTACTGTCTTATATTCTGGTCAATACTTTCATAAATACATGTAGACAAATGTGTTTATGATGCAAACACACCTGTTGTTGATTCTCCCTCTGCAGATGTAGTCTGGCCTGGATGTATCCTCTGGTTTCCTGGAAGGCTTGTCTCTGGGAAACCTCAGCAGGGTAGTGGGTACAGATTCCAATGATGTTAGTGCACAGGAAGATCAGGACATTAGCGCTCACCTGGAGAGAGGAGAGAAAGAGGAGGGAGAAAGAGGTCGTCAAGCTTAAGGTACGAGGGAGGAAGGACAATGCTGCTAATCCTGTGAGATAGCAGAGGAGGAAACTCTGAATCATTTAAGCGTTAAAAGGAAGGTATAAAATAGATCACTGATACTAATTTGACAGAAAATGATTCATTTCTCACGTACCAATGTAGTTGTTATTGCTTCTGGGACAAAATGGTTTCATGAATCAAAACCTCAGTCTGAGAGAAAAGTACACAGGATAAGTTGTACACATTTAAGAAAATATTTTACCTTTGAAAAAGCTTAGATGTATTTGTTCTCTGGGTTTAACTTTAAATCACCCCCCGTTTACCTCTTTTCTCTAACATTTCTGCTCCCCTATTTCTATCAAGACACTCAAGACATACTGTAACTTGCATTAAGGCCCCTTTATGCTGTGCGATTTTGGGCTGTCAAAATTTGACAATCTTGAACTTTAAGTTATCAATATTATTCTCTAATCTAATTTAACTTTATTTAAATACATATGACATTTCCAGTATTAATCTTTTTATTAAATCATTGCAGCATAATAACTGTTTCATTATCAGATGAAAAAACTGAACTGACAGTAGACTGACCATGAACATCAGATCTCTGGGAAGAAAAGTGTTTGACATTAGAACAAAAGACCTGTTCGGATTTAGATTTATCACAAACAGAAGTATAATGTGAAGTTAAAGGCTTCACATACTATTCCAAAACCTTTACAATTATCAAAATCATCTGTATCTGGCATGAATGATAGTCACTGCCATTTATTTTTGAAAGATGCAACAAGAATGAACAGAAATACTTTACTTTTAATTTTTTTTAAATATTGATATTAATGGCATCTTTAAATCTGAAACATCAATTAGGGGCTTTGTTAAAAACATCCATAATTTAAATGATAAAGGTGAATTTTGGTGAGAAATCTCTGAAACAAATGTGTTATTCCCGCTCAAAAGTCATCTGTGTGGCTCATGTTGAATATACAATACTTCAAACATTCTCGGCAGCCTTAACAGAAATAAACTTTCTGCTGATTTTTTTCCAAATCATCTTTTTTCAACACCTTTCTCAGCATGGTCCAGGTCGCTTTCCGTAAGTACCTTTCTCTATTAAGATCCATTGTTCTTCTTCAGAAATTCATCACTGATGATCCTCAAGTGTTTTGATCACCACGCTTCCTTTACTTCTTGAAATTTCACTGGAAAGGTTATCCAAAGGTGTATAAAAAGCAGTCTAAACATTATATTTCGAGCCTTCCATTTTGAAATGATCTGAGCAAGGGAAAGGTCTGTGTGTATCTTTATGCACATGCTTCTGCTCCCTTTTATGTTTAGACCAATCTTACTGTTAATATAGTGTACAGAAGATTCACATTCACAATAGCAAAAGGGCATAAAGTTGACATAGTTTAGTAGAGTTTAGAGTACCACAGACATGATGAATAGAAACATATGGGTAATGGACAGATGAGTTTAAAAAGAAAGCAAACAAGGAGTGGGGTAAAAAATAGAACAGTGGCATATTGGACAACACAGATAAAGTGGAAGACTGACAGATGTTAAGGGTAGGAAGGAAATTAGTGGTAAGGAGCGGGACGAGAAAGGGGAAAAACACAATGTGAGGATGACGAGAGTAAGAAGGGTACGAGTGAGTGCAGAGAGAGAGAGAGAGAGCAGGACAGATATGGGCCACAGTGACATTAGGCAGATGGCTCAGAGCGCTCAGCTCTGTTTACATTACTCTCACTGATCAAGCAAAAACAGCCATGAGACAAAAGTGAAACCTGCGGCATGATGTGCGCTCGCAGGTGAATGCCGCCTGTCAGTCTATACGGGTGCAGTCAAGACGTGTGAAGATGTGTTTTCTCCCAATCAGCTTCAGCGACTGTAAGTATTTATATCTGTTGAGGTACACTCAGCGTGCGCATCACACTCCACGTGTCTGTGCTCACAGGCTCAAAACTAATTGCTTGCTTTTCTCAAGAGGGGAAGGGCAAGTGGGTTTACAGAGTACACAGTAAGGTCCTGTGTTGACGCAACAGCACTCCACCTCTTTAGGAGCTCTGCTTGGCAGCGTTTCCCTGCTACCTGTACACACTACCACGTACCCAGTACAAGGCCACTGCACCTGCGCGTGTCCTCTGTGCTCAACAACACACTCATTTATCTAAACTCATCACTTATATCCTGCCGGCCTTTCCTGTGCTGGTTTGGTCCAGCACCATTATAATCATACCACGACGCATTAAAATCTTCATTGCTCACTCCCTGTCAGGTGGGGTTCATGACTGAGTTACCAATGTGATTACGGCCTACTTAAAGGGTTATGTTCAGTTTGCGAAGACTAAAATAAACCAGGAATTGAACATCACGTCACTGGAAAATCACATCATTGTTTTTCGCCATAAAAGCAGTCGTCATTTTCCCCGGGGGTGACATGTTGGAAGCAGCCAGCCAGTTTGTGGAGAGGACCTCGTCCTAATCCCTGGTTATCAAAATGGCATTATGTAAGAGTTGCGCTGATCTAGACAGGACAAGCAAAACAGCACTAATACTGGTTATTCAGCACAACATAGATTAAAATGTATTTTGCCACAAAAAGACCCCCAACAGCTTAGGAAGGATATGCAGGCTTAATCAATAAATGATGCGATGCTGAATATGTGTCCACCTCTATGCTAAAAAATAAGTTTGTCGCATACCTGAAATACCTCCACAATTAAGTTTTAAAAAAGGGAACAACCCTCTAACAATGTAAATTTATGGATCCTTGACGTTTTCTTAACACCTAATGAGCTCTTTATGTTACTGAGATTATCTGAGATATTTAGAAGCCAATTTCTGTCAATTGTAAAAAAAAACAAAAAGTATTTTAAACATTATTTTAAATTATTGTGGGAATAACAAATACATGGGGATGAATCGGGGGGGGGGGGGTATTACCATTTAATGGAACACCACAGCTATGAAACTAATGGAGTCTCTTAGGTTTGAATATGTCACTTAGCATAAACATCCTAAAACTTCAAGGTCATAGCTTTTACTGTGATTGTACCTTATATGATTACATGTGACAAATGAACTTGATTGATTGATTGATCGATGAAGCTGATACAGAATTATATGTTATATATATATGTTTGATACTGTCAGTGTGAAATAAGATGATTTTAACAACTTTAAGGGGGAATTAAAGTGGAAATAGGATGTTAAGGGTTTAATAACTGCCAAAATTATGAGAATGCCATCATTGTGAGATAATAAGTCACTTTTGCATTGACAATGCATTGCTAGAGCTGTGCTGCTACCATGGCTAGCGGTGGTATCACTAAGGTATACATATGTCTAAACAAAGTAGTGCCAATGATATCCACCTGCCCATCATTGGCAATGCCACATCCAAACACTCGTCACCACTCTACACCTAATGAAACCCCTCTGAAGCTACCGACTCCCAAGTTGGCCAAGTAGACGAGGATTAGAGGGAGGCTAATGGAACATTCAGAAACTTTATTTATAATTTTTCTCCTCCTTTATGATGGATTTAGCACAGCAGCACATTTACTTTAGCAGGAAGTCTGTGGTCCTGACAGTGAGTCTATAAACATTGGCTTTTAAGGCCATCAGGCCCCTGTTTCAGACTGGGAAAGAGTGTTCTTTGAGGAGGAGAGAGCATGTGGTCAAATGGGACATTTAACAGCATCCTGTAAGACATATACATATGCAATGTACCAGGATTAGATCATTTAAAGCAGCTATAATCAATATGGTTATATTAATGGATGACACAATGAACCCACAGAGAATTTTACCTAACTCTGCAGCTTCCCTCAGCTCTACAGAAATATAGCGTCTTTAAGCTCATTGTTTCGGTTTTGGTTCGCTCTTCCCATTTCTGTAGTAGTGTTTTTTTAGCCAAAGCATCTCAGGAGTTAGTGGAGACCAATTTCTAATGAATGCTAATGTTGCTCCATAACTGCTGGATGTGTAAATAAGCAACTGTTTGCTAACCAAGTCAACTTTTAAGATTTGTCCCCACCCCTTCAAGTGGCCAAAGAAATCTGGTATTCCAAGAGAAACTGAGCAACAGAATACAATTTTAGACTGCCTGTGTAGTGAAGTAACTAAACAACCCTCTCCAGAACAGACAGTAGGACGTGACTAATAGCCAGCACTCACAAGCCAATTCCATTTCAAACCAAACAATATTAATCAAACTGTCTGACGTTTCTGTGTAGTGTGTAGTCCTTCTTGCAGAATGTCAGGCCAGTATCTCTTTCCTTTTTTCCCTCAGCATGTTCACAGCATGACCTGCCCTCTCCTTTAATCCCTCCATCCTGCTCTCCATCCCACTTAACAATACTCAGCAGACACCCGACACTAACCACAGCTAGGTGTGTATGTGTGTGCATACATGCAAATGCACAAAATTAGCAGGTCAGGGAAGACCTTAACATTTTCCCCAGACACCTGGTGTTACTTCTATACTACTTCATTTAATCAGACCCCTCGCAAGTCACTTGACAGAATGAAAAGTTTAGAGGCTTAAAAAAGAAATGACTGAAATTAATACTGAAGCTGCATGACCAAAAGCTCTTTCAGTACATGATTTTTTTTACACTTTAAATCCTTTTAATTCACCTATAAGCAAGAAAGAAAATCAGATATCCAAACACATGCCTTGTCTCTTATCATTCAGCCACTCAGTTTAGAAGTTGTTGCTATAATGTGTATGCATGTTCACTTTGCTGACTTAATATTCCTGTTGGAGAGCTCATTTTGAAGCCAGCAGTCTTGATGCACCTCTTATGCATGAAAGATGTAGATGTGATGATGGTGGTGATTTTATATGAAACTCAATGTTGTTTAAGAGTCTTTCTCTCTCTCTCTCTCTCTCTCTCTCTCTCTTTGCTTCTTTCTGAGTCTTGTGAAAGGTTCTGTTTAGTGTTGGCCCGAGACTCACACCCACAGTGACTGTGAATTATTAGAGATGGCAGCGCAGCTTTCACTTAGCAACTATCACCCACATTCCACAGGCTCCCTCCAAAGACCTGCAGTCCCTCACCCAGGTTCAGAGACAGTGCAGCGTGGGGGTCCACCTGAGGAGGGGTAGGTGGTAGTGGGTGTATCGGTGGACAGATGACTTTGTCTTACATTCTCATTACACCAAAACGCCACAGTCAGAACATACTGTATTCTCAGTATATTCAAACTCTGGTTTGCCACAAACCAACAACTTGTTTTTATTATAAATACATTTATTTTTATTTCATCAGTTAGAGCTAAAAAATACCATGTACTGTACAAAATGTAATGTAAACCATACACGCGGCTGACTGTGTAAATAAACATTGTTCTTGTAAATACTTAAGAAAAAATGTAAGCGAACTAACCTTTGTGTTTGGAAAATGTACCGCTAATGTTAGCCAAAATGTTGATAGCATCTAGGAGCACACAGTGGATGTGCTAGTCGTAAACGGGGATATAACAAATGAATGCAGTTAGTCAATGATATGCTAACTCTTGTTGTGTTGGAAGTGGCACCCATTTACTACTAGTGAGCAAGTTTGTCAGACATGCTATGGATTAAAGATGTTTCAGCTGAGGAACACACTGTTCAATCCATTGCTCACACTTTTGCTCTTGTGTTTGCAGTTTCAGAAAGGTAAAAGAAAAAACTACCACTCTTAAAAGTTTTTAAATGGTAAATATTGCTCTTACTAAAGCCCCATGAACACCGCTTCAACAATTGGATAAATCAACAACTTGACAGGCCTGGTATGCCAAGTGACAGTTGCGAAGCTATGATTGGACAATCGCTGCTTCAGGGAGGGGTTCAGCAAACTGTCAATTTATCGACTAATCATTTCAGCACTGCTTCACTGGAGCTGACTTGGACTACTGCATTTACTTAAATACACTGAGAACAATATTTTAGGCTGACATGGAAAAAATCATTTAGCTGGACATGCTGTCCAGAAAACTGTGGAGAACAAGACACTAAATTTATAAGACCTTTTCCCAGAGGGAGCAATGACTGATGGGATATTGTTACTGAAACGGGGCCAGCGAGAGTACAAGTCAGAGCTCATTGGCCTTTGAGGAGCATCTGGAACTCCTTAGAGCATCTGTGTTAGATCAGGCTCTGTAAAACACACTCTAACACCCCAAACACAATGACAGGGCTTTACTTCTGACAAACCCTAAGAGCCTCCCCCGTAGGTTGCCCCTTATCTTTTCTTGAGAGCATCTGTTATTTATTTCCATATTCTTTCATTTCTTTTATTTTTTCCTGCCTTTTTCGCGCTCTGACTTGCGCTCACTGTCACTTTGAGCCTTTGTGAAAAAGTCTGTGTATGTGTGCAGTTCCAGGCAGCTGCTGGGTTTGTGTACTCAGCCTGAGTCTCATGTCTACACACAGCTCCCACTGTCCTTATCTGAAATGACCAGAACCACGTCAACAGATAAAGAGTCAAGCCCCGCCTGCGCACTCTGCTCCCTCACTCGGCCAGGGTGGTCTTTACACTGAAGGTGAGTCACACATTTAGGTCGTACAGCGGAAAAACTTCACATAAAAATTAATCTTTTTGGAGCACGATCACCTGTACAGCCTTGTCATTTCTGTAATTTGTGATGATCAGCGTGTTTTTCTTGCTCAGGACATTTCCAGAACAACATTAATCAAACTGTTTAAAGGTATTTTTAGTGTCTAAAATCTGTCATAATTACGACTGGCATGAAGCATTGTAATTTAAAAACATCTGTGCCACTGTGATGTGAGGGAACAAAATGTAGTCATTTTGCTCTAACATATCTGAATTTACAACTTCGTTAGCTCTTAAATTTCAATTATAGTTTTCTTAAGTCGTTTCAATTGCAGGGAAGAGCAAGTCTCTTTTGATTTATATGCAGCCAGTCTTTGGATTCCCATCATATATTTTTACATGCACACTGCACATATACCATGAGGAAGAAAAATGTTGCAGGAAATGTTGACTTGTGTAAATATCCTGGATATACTTTGTCACATGGAAAGATTGTGACAAAGCCCATTCCACACACCCTATTTCTAGAAAAGAAAGCAAACAAAACATTCAGTATTCCCTATAATAAACACTCAGTAGTTCACTCTACACAGTAGTTTACAAAGATAGTAGTGGTGGATGGGCACTACTTTTTTCATTCCATCGTGGGAACTTTTACAGTCACTACACAAAGCATAAATTTCACAGACAGAGAGTAAATATAGTGCACTTTCCGGTGACTGATTTCGGACCCAGCCGTAGTCTGACATTTCACTTACAGGAGATCCAGAAATAATTTACTTTGAAATTTGTTCCAAGAGTAGACAATAAAACGTCTAGATTTATTTTCTACTGATAATATAACAGATGCAGTTTACTGTAGAATACATTAGCAGCTGTAATCTTGCAATCATTGGAGGAAGTGGTGTCTTTAATTTGTGCATTTCAATAAAAGATATGCATCTAAACAAACGTGTCATGCATAACATAAATCACAAAAGAGCAGAAAGTGTGTGACTATTATTATATCTATGTTCTTCTTCTTTTAAAACAGGAAATGGTGCGAATATGTGGCAATTGTTTCTGCTTCCCAAAGTGTAATTTATTCAGACAGCCCGTCACAATACATTTTATTACAACAAACGTTGTTTTTTTTAAGTTAAAAAACAGTGAATACACTGACACTTCAACTCTTTTCCCCTGTCACCACTGGTATTTGTTTTGGGATAAGTGAATATTTTTTTCTTATCTATAAACATAAAAGTATGACTGATGACACAGATTTCTATTAATAATTCTGCATTTCCTTCAGCTGTTTTAGACATCTGAGTATTTTAGAGGCCGTGCACTGAAACACAACTCCATACACATTACATAAATACTGTACAGCTGCGTCGTAAACAATTACTTATGCTGGTTTAAACTCCTTTTCCCTCAGCGATGTTTCTGTAAACATGGACGGGGACGTGCTGGGGGTCCCAACAGCGAAAAACTACACAGCACGCACATTTCTGCTGGCAACAAGGCGAGTGTGACTACTGTGGAGAGAGTGTGACTACTAAAGTATTCTTGCACTGGAGTTGCAAAAGAGTTTTTATTTAAAGGACAGAATCTGCCTAAAAAGACAGGAGCTTGAAAGAATAAAGCTCCTTTTCACAATATTATCAAGTTTTTCTGAAATGCATGGGATCCCTGCTAGGACGCTAGGCTTTTTCATGCTGTGGGCAGACAACAGGTTCAGGGATAACTGTTGTGATTAAATAAAAAAGCCTCTAAAAAGAGCATTAGAGGAATGTAAACCAAGCATATGATTGGCAAAGGACAAAATAGCCTACACGCCTGCAAAACATTCACAGCTGATGCTTTTGTGTATTTGTATATAACCACAGGTATGGAGATGTTTCCCAGTGTTTAAATGTTTATTTTGAAAATGTTAGTCCTGAATCAATCTACTGTACAATGAAAGGTTCTAGCCTCAAAGCCTTATAGTTCATTCACACCAGTTTAGCTAATGTATTTAAGTTGAGTCTATAGTGTGGTTGCTCTGGTAATACTACAGCATTGCCTGTTAATGTAATTTTAATGCATCTAAACTAGGGCTGAAACGATTATGATTATGACTAGCATACCACAACAGCACGACGGCAATGCTTCAGCATCAGAGCAGAAAGCATCCAGTCTACACATCGAGTCCACAGAGCAGACAGGAAACAAGGTAACGTTCATGTAACTAGCATCGTAAATCATGGTAGTTGAGATGAAGGCTAACAATGGTAGGGCACACTTTTTAGTAAATGTATAATCATGCATTTGTTGTTTGGGTTGTAACGTTACAATGATATGAGTTACACAGGTGATCCCCATACTGGGGGCGCCAAGCAAAAGTATTTCTTATCCGATTACTCGATGAAGCGATGAATCAACGAAATAATACTTGATTAATTAAAAACAATGATAGGGGCACCTGCAATCTTTATTGTTAAATTTGGGCCCTATTTTCACATATTTTAAAACATTTGTTGTGTGGGGGCGCCGGTTAGCTCACCGCTAGAGTGCGTGCCCCATGTAAGAAGGATGAGTTCTTGCCGCAGCAGCCCAGGTTAGAGTCGGGCCTGTGGCCCTTTGCTCCTCTCTGACACTGACTCACGTTTTCACTGGCGTCTTCCTGCAACAGCTCGCTTCTCAAGAGATTTCAGAGTGACAATTGTCCTTTTACAAGACTTCTGTTTCAGAGGGTATTACCGGGTGTTACTCTTAGGGATCCTTGATGTCTGAGCCTGTCGGTGGCAAGAAGAAGCAGTTTTTGTGAATGTAATTTTGAAAAAGGAATACGTTGAAGCCACTGCAGCCATTTTGCGGCTGCCGATAACTGCACGGATTCCAAAACTTTTTGTACCTGCCAGTCATTTCTACCCCAAAATATGTGAAAATAGGGCGCAAGTTTAAAAATACCAAAATTACCCTTTAATGTTTAATGTTTTTTATTGATTTAATTAATTAAATATGGATTTTCTGGTTACCTAATTTAATCTGATTGCTGGTTTTCTAATTGTTTAATTTAATTTGTTATTTTTTGTTATGCTAGCTAACTCATCATTCTGACATTAGCCCGTCTCGACGACGAAACACATTAAGAACTTCTTCTCAGATCGGAGCAGTATTAACACAAAATTAATTTGATTTTATATAGAACAGGATATAACAATTACATCACGTTCAAATTACAAATCACTGCTTTTATAAACATTTGTCAGCTGGAAAAGGCTTTGACCAGCGTGCACACGCACTTACCTACGTAACCACGCTGAACATGTTCACACACACAAACCCCAAAACACACACATAGAGCCAAAAGAAGATACATAATAAAAGATAAAGAAAAGAAAAGCTATGTTTATTGACCTGTTACATTCATTCCTCCTGAATTGTGTCCCCCTCCCAGTTTTTAAAAAAGCTTGTGCATCTTTGAGGCTTAAAAACACATCTCTACATTACTGGGGCTACAAATGCACAGTCATAGCAAGCTGACCGGAGATAAGCTTCCTTGAACTGGACAACTGGTAAACAACATCCTGTGCATCCCTTCCTCTCGGCTCCCCACCACCTCCACTCATATGACCTCTCCTCTGTCATCGCCATGTTTAATTATGGGCCGTCTCATTTCGACAGCAGGGGGGAGGAAAACAAAGCACAAATCTATCAGAGCAGCCAAACAGCAGCATGTCTAGAAAGCTCAGACCCCTCCAACGCCCGCTCTTCGAGCTTTCAGATTCTAAGAAGGAGAAGTGAACAGCAGAAATCAATTTTGACCTGATTTCTTTCCCTTTTTTATGTCTTTACTTGAAGCAACGGTTACCAAACTGTACACCAGCAGGCTGAACTGGGTCTCGGCTGCTTGAGTCGTAGTTGTTTCCATGGCAACCACTGGACCAGCTGAACACAAGCACTGAGGGAGACACTTAGCAATGCCGTTTATTCCCCATCATTCTCAGAAGTGATGCTAAACTCATTTTCCAGCGCTCTTATTGGTCCACAGATTGGCGGTGGTGGTATGTGTGTCTGAGGGTGCGTATTTGTGTGTCTAAATCCACGTAATCCTCATACAAGTAAAAACAGGCAGTGACAAATGAGTGAAGAGACATATTTACGTAATGAGGGATCATATAACATTAAGGTGTATCTATGTTGATATACTGCAACCTTTCTTAAAGCTGTGGTGTGTTTTCTTTATGTGTGTGTGTCTGTGTGTTTGTGTGTGTGATCCCTTAAGTCAGCACCCGCGAGCAAAGTGTACATGTGACAGGTATTCTCGTTAAAATGCTGCTGGCGCGTTAAACGCACAAATTATTTATCAAGGAGGCTGTGGACGGACTGCGTGGTGAGAATATCGGATTCTCCTCCGATCATGATGCCTTGCTGCACCCTCCTTCCTTTATACAGGGTGTCTTGTTCTATAGCTGTAGCTTTGCACAGGTGATCATCACAGGCTGACACTTCCTCCACTGGGATCCAAGTCTCCCATCTTGATGCATGATGCACACAAGGTTATTCTAGCACCGGGAGCTGCTGAGAAACTGTGATAGAGTTGATATAGTTGATACTGTGTGAGATTTGCGCTGATTAAAGTGCATTTATTCTCTGTATAACATCCTGGAAATTTAAAAATTGAGTAAACAGCCATTTGGAAAGCTTGACGTCAGAGTATTGTGGACTTGCGTATAAACTAAGAGCATTGCTACAGGAGCAGCACATTGTTATTTAAACTCTATTCCCTTATCTTATCTACTTAATAAAAAACACACTTTAAACACTTAGCGGGAGCTTGAGAAGGAGACCAGTGAAACATATTGACTGTCCCCTGACCCACGTGGAGGCCTAATTTGCCCTCTGTGCTGTTTAATGGGCTTTTAGGGGCTTAAGCAACCATCTCTGCCGTGGTCAAAGATCAGAGCAGAAATGCATTACGTTATGCTTCATTAACAGAAAAAGATGAAGAAATCGTTGTATATACAGTATTAGCCTCGCTCTGCACCAGGGTAGTGTTAAGTGTAGGTGAAAACGCAGCCCCACGTATGCAGAGAAAAGGGAGTTAAAGTGACCTGCCTGTTGCAGTGACTGTTCCATGTGACGCAACAGAAACGTTGAGGGCCAGGTATTTTTAGGAATCAGTCTTTGACCTCTCACAGCACTTGTGTCAACAATATCCACACAACAATGCTAGCCAGTGTCGGAGGCCATAAAGCAAAAAGCTCTGGGGTGAAGAATGCAGAATAATGAGAAGCTTCAGTGACAAAATCCAACAATTTTGTTGACAAACGTATCAGCAGTGATCAGCATGCATGCAAAATAAAGTGTGTATGGAAACGTGCTTGGGCTTTACTTGTGCATTTTTCTGATTTAATCCGGGACAGAAGCGTGACTGTATATGTTAATGTTCACACGCAAATGGACTCCCACACATACAGGCAGGACAATAGTTTTGGAATGTTACTTCCCAAATAAAAACCAACAGCAGCAATGCTGACAAACATTCAATAGAGACAAGAAGGGAAGGTGACAACCATAACAAAGCATGGGATGGTGTGTATGTGTATTGATGGGTGGCTGCTGGGTGGGACATGCACATGCACATGAGTTGGTACTGTATTGCTTTGTCGAACTGATTTCAGCTGAGGAGTCTGAGGATTGTAGACATGGCGACACATAAAAACCAGGGAGCAGCAGCAGAGATGAAGCTCAACAGGACGTCTCCATACATTTTACATGTTACAGCTTTGATAGATAGTTCTTTTGAAATCAATCCTGAGTATACCAAGGCGATGCAAATTCCAAAATACTGTTGTTTATGGTGTGAGTGTGTAGAATAAGACACTCAAAGTGAAGCTAAGAACAGACACACGAGTCTACCGTATGCAGCTGTGAAAACACACCTACCAACCATCGCCAAGAGCAATACAGCTTAGGAAACAACCAGATGGTCTGCATGTGTTTTGAAAGGTTTAAAGGGATTAAGGGCCATAAATTTCAAGAGATGAAAATTAAATACTTCTCATGTAGCAGACAGACACCGCCAAGATGTCTGCAAGAGCCTCAGAATACTATTACTCATACCAACACCCATTTCCAATACAAACATCACATTCAACATTTTGTAATAAGATTTTTGCAATTATAGCGCAGCATATTTTGGTCAAGAAATGTTAAAGTAAACAAACTACTTGTACTACTGTTCTGTTTTCAGCTTATTCTTTGTTTATGTCTTGAGTTAGGTTGGTCTTTTATTTTCCTGTAAAGCACATTCTGTCAAGACTTCTATTTTGGTCATTCATGTCTCTGATTTCAAACACGTGTTTTACTTGTTTTGTGTTATGGACTGTACACTGTAACTCACTGACAATGTACTTAAGTACTTTACCTATTTTACAAGGCAGCTTGCCTGTCAAAATGTCAGTTTAGATAGGTCTGGTATCTATTCTACAGTAACAAGTGTGTGTGGCTGGAAAGTAACTACACACAATATAAATTGAATGCCATGTTGCACAACAAACAAAAGCTTGATAATTTGAAGGCCGTCATCTTTAAAGCCACAGATATCCATAACACAGACAACTGGTCATAAATCTAAGATATTTCTAATCCAGCACTTTTATTTCTTTGACTGCATACGCACCAACCAAAATGAAAGTTTGTAAATAAATATCTTGATGAATTTATCAAAATTTAACAGTCAAAAACTCAGTTAATATGCTTCATCAGGACTGCATGAGTGTGGTTTGATCTGATTTGATTGACATTGACCCGGATGGGGTGATCATAGCCAACACTGACATTAACTCTAACCCACTGGCCTCATTAATCAGCTTCTCGTACTTCTGGAGAGAAGAGAGGCCCGTGTGAAATCAGACATCCAGAATCTAGTTACTGTCCCAGTCAACAGTAACCACCTGACCCAACTCAACTGCACAGACTCCTTCTCAGTTGCCTGTTTAAATCCGCAGTGTCTGCAAATGAAAAGATACAGTTACATCATTCCTCACACACAACTTTATCATTATCCATACCCATCGACAGCAACAGAAAAACCCAGTGAGGTTAATGAGTTATTGGAGAAAGAGGAAATACTTGCACACAATCGTGAAGCAGTGATTGATGACACTGTTTTACATAATACACAGGCGACCTCAAGAATAAACAGCATTGCCGGGCCGCAGCTATCTCATGACATTCATTCACTTAACAATGGCAAACAATGTTGGAGCATGTGATGGATTACACTATAATTTATCATGCATTACAGAGTTCCCACAGGTCCCTAACTTCAGTTATTACTTCATAATAAACACACGCAATATTACCACAAAGTGGTCCGTGTTTAAGTGTCTTATTTGGGTTGTTTTCTAAGAATAGATTATACTAATACGTGAAAGGATATGTTACTGATTACATCCCTTATGGTGATGGCAGAGACATTACAGTGACAATCAGTGATTCATAATTAAGTCCTGTATCCCCCTATTGTTTTCATGTAATGGCCTTCCCATTGTGCTTTTGATAACTTTTCCCCAAGGAGACAACAGTTGCAGAACAGCTAAGTCAGTACAGAAAGCAAGCAGCCACCATACTGCCCCCCCCCCCATCACCCCACCCTTGGAGAAAAGTACAAAGCGTCCCTTGTGTGAGAGCACAGAGACCTGAGTGATACTGCTTTATATCATGGTATTCTCTCACTGTCACACAACAACACACATACACACACAGAGCGGTCCAGCCGGGGCGGTTCGTTCAGCCCAATGACCTTCAGTGAGCCCCTTGGTCCTTGACATGACGCACAAACAACACACTGTACAGCAAGACCCATAAGCCCCAAAGTACATATGAATACGCAGATGCTGACAAAACACAGTAGAGCAATATACGTTGCATGGGCTGCGTTGCCGGTTCACACAGTACAACGCCACCCTGTCGTAAACATCATGACAGAGGTGACATTTTAAATGCGCGAGGACACAAAGCGACTGAACAATGTGCCAAGATCAGTCAAATTACAGTGATAACTACTAACTATATATCACAACTTTCAGTTTTCTGACGTGTTTAACTCCTTAGCCACTACTTTAACCTCAATATTTCCAATGTGCCACTTAAAGTAGCGTCACATTTTGATGAAATTTTTTAGGCCTGCAATAACAATAATTTCCATTATTCTGCCGATCTTTTTCGAGATTAATCAATTCATTGTTTGTTCTAAAAAAGGTCAGAAAATAGTGAAAGCTGCCCGTTACAATTAACTAAAGCCCAACATAACGTCTTCAAATGTATTGTTTTTTCTGATCAGGCAGCAAATCCTCATAACTGGCAAGCTTAAACTAAGTAATATGTTGTATTTTTGCTAGACAGATGACAATTTCATTTCTGTCCATTAATTTGTTGACTAATCAACTACATTTTTACCCCATTTCAGCAATAATACAATACACTGTATTATATAACATGCTATATATCTGTTTGGAGACTATATCACCCTACTAGTGAGTTCAAAATGTATATGCTGGATCCTATTTGTTTATGGTTGACCAATTATATTAAGTGAAAAATGTGTATAACTTCTTACATGACAAATTTGGTAGCTTAGAAAACCTTGGGATATGAGTTGGCAGGAATTTAAAGCTGACCTATGCAATACTTTTAAATTAACACTGGAAATAAATGACGGTGTATGTCACTCATGCGCTCACAGAGGATTACCACCTGACCTCTCAGCTCAGAAGTGTGTTTAGTATCTTCAAGCTAGTTTTTCAGGCACAAAAGGCAGCTTTTTTGGAGTTGATGGAGACCAAAAACAGAGCTAAAAGAATAGTGAATATTGGACTTCCATTCATCGGGTGCCCAGTAAGACGACTACAAATGAATGAAAATCTTGCTCTTTGTCTGCTGGATATTTAACAACTGAACCATATGGACTCGATGTATCGAGGAATCTATGTTGTTTTCTATCATGTATATTTCCTACTATTAATTAAGTAATTAATTATTTTATTAATTAAGGTCTTTAACCCTGTCCACTGCCACTGCCTCATCTTACTCTCATAAAAACATGGTGAATCATTAGTTGCTGCACCTTAATAAAAGGTCCAACTATAACTCACTCATCACTCCAGTTAGTTATGTGTGTGAACAACACTAGCTACACAACATGCATTTGTGCAGATGGACCCACCAAAGGATCTGTGAGTGAGAAAGGGTAAAACAAATGCGGAAGTGCATTCGTGAACTTAATTAATCAGAAAAACCGCAGGATAAATTGCTTATATACAGTTTAAGAAATTACATAACAGAAAGGGAAAATGAATGTAGAGCTGTCGAAATAGTTTCCGCTCTGTTCATTCTCAGTGTCACTTTGGGTCAAACATGACATGCAAAGAGAACAATCAAACAATCATAAGTCAAGCCTCTCTATACCTGTTTCCAGAGGAACTTGTCTTCCTGGTTGATCTGCCAGGTGGTGACTACGTGTATGATGGACAACACTGCCCCGCTCAGCACCGCCGCTCTCATTCTCACAGGCAGCAGAGTGTAGATGATGTAGATGAAGAACACAGACCACCAGATGCCTTCTGAAGCGCTCCTGGGTGCCACCATGAGCACCCCAAACACCTGTACTGACACCAAGACTCCGATCACCAGGTAACTGACCATCCACATGTAGTCCTGGTGGAAGCCGTTGCGGTTGCACACTACCATAAGAGCCATGAAGAGCGCCATTGCCACCGACAGGACTGACGAATAGGCCACATGAGGGGCGGCGTGGACACAGTGGAAGGTCAGCATGATGCCGCACACGATCACAAGGACCCCCATGAGCATGGTCAAGGAGCTCTGGTTCAGCCTAAAGAAGTAACGCTGGTATAGGCGCTCCAGTTTGCGGGACTGGAATTTTTTTGACTGGAACACCCGCACCACCCTGAGCCAGCAGTCCGCAGCCGTCACCACCCCTGCTGCGCCGTTGGGACCATCATCCCCCATGTCCCCGCTTCCTCCGTTACATCCGCCTTTCCTCCCTTTCAACTCCCCGTCCTCAAAGCCCAAGTCGACCGATTTCAGTCCCACCCCTTCCCCGGGAGCCCCTCCCCTTTTGCCGTAGTGGTCCTCCTGCCATCCGCAACGGACACCGAAGTTGCCCCCGCCTCCCATGGCCCCTGTCACCCCTCCGCGGTGGTGCTGATGGAGGGGGGCTCCAGAAGGAGGCTCCATAGCATCTGGGTCCCGCAGACAGCTCATGTAACGCGGGTTGCAGAGAGATGAGCCTCCCTTCCGTTTGGACTTCTTGCCATTGCGCTCACCCCACGCAGTCTTGCGGTCGTCCACTCTGGCGACTAGGAAACCACTGAACCAGGACATTCTGTGTGAGCAGAGAGAGGAACGTTCAGTACAGGAACGGGCCAAAGACAGATAACAGCTACAGCACTGATACCATTTCCTCCCCCATCCACCTGCATGAGTTGTTCATTTACCTGTTGGGGTTCTGGTACATGTCCCAGCCCTTTCCCTAGCAGCCGGTTCACTCATTTATCCCTGTGGACAAAATTTTGAAGAAGTGAGGAGGGGTTTGTAGGGGCCACACAGCAGGGCCGCAGGACTGGATGGGGTCAAAAGGCGCACAAGCTGCTCGACAAAGCTCCAGATGTTTCAGACAGTGATCAGAGACCAAGGTTAATGAGAAGACCAGTCTCTGCTGCCAGACTTCTGCTGCGTCTACAGGAAAAATCAAACATACAGATTGTAGAGTGACAAACAGGAAAGATGTGCTTGTTAGCAAAGATCTCCTTCACCCCAAATCTGACATGTATCATTGTCCGCTAAATGCACATACATCATTCCCTGGATAACCAGATAGACTTGAGGTTTTGTCTCATGTCTGAAAACAGAGACAGATTCAGTTTTTTTTAAAGGTGAGCAAAAACTTGCTCAATTTGACCCCCATGCAAAAAAATAATACCCTCTGGTATAAACACACAATAGCATTTTGAAGTCAGTTGGGCTGAAGATAAAGAAGGATTCCTTAAAGCTCTGTTTATTATCACAATCGATGATAACGGGCGAGTAATAAATACAGATAAATGCCACTGAACAACAGGATACTGTCAAGACAAATATCAAATCAGTAATGGGAGACACAGCATGACAGGATGTGCAAGCCTTGCAGCGCTAAACCAAAAGTTGTTTAGAAATTACTAGAAAATCAAGCTATCTATCCTTCCCGTTTAGCATTATATCACAGACATACATATAATCATTTCATTTGGTTAAGTTTTTGTTAAAGGCGTACCATCAGTGTATGAAAGCGTTCTGTTTAAATTTGTTATGAGTGAATCTGATACACTATGTTTTGAGATATATGGATCTTGCCACTGAGTGTAATGTAAGCAGTGTCTTTTAAGCCCATTTGGTCTGTGCGCCTTTGGGTGTTTGACATTCATTTATTCATGTATGAGTAAGGATGCACTACTGTCCTTAATAACCACACGAGGTATTGATCAGATGTGAACAATCCACATTAAATACTTTTTTCCCCCACATTTCCATCAGTTACATTTATTCGGTCATGGTAGGCCTGCCTTCATATTACATTACAAGAGAATGATCCCAATAAGTTCCACACAGCGAGGCATACAGATTAAAAAATTTGGTAAAAGAAGTGTCAGATTGGAAAACGGTATTGGCAGATGACCTGAGATGAGGTATCATATTGGGTGAGAAAAAGTCAGAGATGGGGGGATACACTGTGGTTACAGTCCTGACAGAAAAGATCTCAAATACTCCCCTAATGGTCTCTAGGGACTTGCAGTGGGCGTTTCTTTGATATCCAGTTGTAGGTTTAAGCTGACCTGGTCACATTTTATAGTATTATTATCTCCAGTAATGCTATATTAACCCTAGAATATTTTATAGTTAATATAAATAGTGTATTTATCAGTGTTCGTCCTGATTTAATTTTAAAACGTCCACATAAGCCTGAGCAAGTGCTACCAGCTGATCTGACCAGGCCTCCAGACGCCCTGTGCTCTGCACAGTGCAGAGAGACGCGCAAACGCAACGCAGCTGCAACCGCTTCTGCAGTCGCTGCCGCCGCCTCCTCGACCCCGGCATCTTCACCGGAGAGGCATGCTGTGCTGTTGTTGTAAAAATAGCATTTCCTCGCTATATCTTGCCTGCATGCGCCTTATCTGGCACGTCCAAGCCGTATCCCTCCTCCCTGGCAGCGGATCGACAAGATTCAAGGAGAACCAGCCCCCCTCCCACCACCACCTCCGCGATTCTCTCTCTCACACACCTCCCCTCTCCTCTCCTCTCCTCCCACCTCCACCACCTCCTCCCCTCCACCTCCCCGGCTGCGTCCCTCACTCCCCTGCACAAGGTCGGCCAGCTTGTACAATTTGCAAACGTCGCGGTGTTGCCAGTCGCTTGGTGGGTGTTTGCATGGTGCTTGGCTGTACTCTCTGTTTCCCCCACTAGCGTGAGGAGAGGTGCGGGGAAGGGAAGGCGGGGGTGACGGACTATTCCTAGTGGACATTTTCAACCGGACAGCCGCTACACTGGCATGACAGCCTCAAACAGCAAAACAACAAAGCATAAAGTCATTCATTGTGAGCTTGTTCCAGTTAGATAAGTCCGAATTTCTCTCTCTTTCTCTCTCTCTCTCCGCCTCAGTTGTCATCCAGATGATACAGATGCGAAAACAAATCAAGAAATTAGGGGGAACTCAAATCGTGTGCAAGGCGTTGAATTGGCGTTTTTGCATTTTCCCTGTTTTAATCATGTGCGTATGATCTGTTTGCGATCCGGCGTATTAATGTCATGCACAGGCAGGCCGTGTGTGAGGGCCCGCATTCAAACAGCGTAGGCTTCTTGTTACATAACACCATGGCCTGTGTGACAACCATAGCGGAGACCATAAAACCATTCCGCTGCGTCCGGAGTCCAAGTGAAGACAACAACACGCCTCTAAAAGCGACATATATGTTAAATGTCCTTCAGCCTGCAGCAAAAGCTCTCAGGATTAGTGTATTGACAATCTTTATCAGTGGGTAAATAAACAGATAGCCTAACGTTAAACATGTTATTGCTGCTGCACATTCCTCAGCATCAGTCAGTGGATTGAGGACTAGCAGTATATAACCCATCATTTACAACAGCCATATGTGTGTATAGTGGTCAGTAGCGTATAAATAGGTGGTTAAGTTTAAAGTTATGTTATGATAAATTATCTGCAGCTGATGTGAATCATTATGAGCATCAGATGCGTCTTGCAAGCGGCTTCAGCCCCTGACTGTAGCCATACCAACAACCCTCGGGACTGTCAATAAGAAACATAAACGCACTATGATGCAGCTTATCCCCCCCCCCCCCCCCCCCCCTTCACACACACACACACACACACAGAAATGTTATTATTGGTCGCCAGTGGAAAACATGTAGCTGACCGTGTATCCTTTGACACCACCACCACCAGTGTGAAGCGGAGGCCTTACAGCAACTGTCGCCAGCTATGTCATTCACTCCGGCAGAAATGGTGTATTGCCAGAGAAGAAGTGGCAGAGGCGTCTAGGCTCCGACTCAGTGCAACAGCGTTTGAGACGTCCGTGTGACAGGAGACAATGTATGATATTTGTCGGCCCGCAGTGTGCAGCAGCAGTCACAGTCAGAAAGACGGACTCACCGTGATCATCTTCTGTTTCTGTCCCCCGACAGGACAGCAGCAGACAATACGATTCGGTGCGGTTGTCGGTCGGAGCGGCCAGGCTGGAGCACCATTTGTAGCACAGCTGTCCAAGGATGGTCCGGTTAAATTGGTCACCCTGTGGTGGCTCTCCTCCAGTCGTCTTCTCGCTCCACTCCCTTTCCTCTCCTCCCCTTGACCCTCTCGGCTCCAAGCACCACTGTCAATACGAGGGGGGAAACAAACATCACACTTCCGGTTGTTGTTTTCAAATTAAACCCCTTGCAGTGGAGGGGTAAAGGGAAGGGTGCTGCAATATAAATGAATAGCCATTACAAGTAAAGGTGAAGCGTTGAAAATGTCAGAAATAGCCTACTTATGGGATCAATACTTTCATTCCTGTCCATTTAAATATAAGGCAATGGCTAGCTGCAGGTTAGCTTAGCTTAGGACTGGAAACAGCTAGCTGAAAACCAAAGTGTAAAAACTACACCTCACTGTTTACTGGGGGTTACGTGCATATAGGCTACTGTAGGCTGTATAAAAAGGTTATGTGTCGATATATGTCAGCTCAACAGTGGCAGTGGCATGCCCGCCACTACAGGGGAGGCTGATGCAAGCAAGGCCATTTTGCTAACCTGAATCTTTTGTCTTATTTCAATGCCCGTGTTAATGATTGATAAAAATTGACATCCACTTTTGCTGGATTCTGGGTGGTGGCAATGACAGAAAAAGTTTGAGAACCACTGAGCTATGTAAATACTTTAATGTCTGCACATTAAATATAAGGCTACAACCAGCAGTCGATTAGCTTAGCTTATATTAGCACAAAGACTTTAAACAAGTGGAAACAGCCTGCTATTTACAGATTAAACAAACACACTTTGGATAAATTATATTTTTGAATATAAGTGCTGGAATTGAAAATATATTTAAATTATTATGAATTAAAATGTCATAATGTAATCATGTCTATTTCTTTCATTTTGAACACTTTGGGTATCCATTGAAAGGTATATAAATAGACTTATCCTGCCATTGATTATACTACTATATGACTATTTTTGTCTTTCTTTAAATAGGCCTATTTTCTTTACTAATGAGACTGTGCAGCTTTACTCTCCAAAGCCATGTCATTTAAAAATCACTGATTGCATTGATCATTGTTGCATGACCTTGTGATCCTGATGCCCATGGTGTTCACCCCAAGCGCCTCAAACTTTTATTTTGAAATCATACTCCACGTATTTCCGGTGTCATGCTGTCTAACTTTGGGTAGCTTGAGGCAGCTCTCCTCAGTCCAGACGCGCCGTTGCTCTCACCACTCTCCCTTTCCCACTTTTAGTAACTCGGCACTCCCTCTAGAGGTAAAGCCGTGTCTGTGGAGAGCCCGGGCCGGTCAAACACCACCAGCTGTGATCTCCAGAATGAGTCCCAGAAGGAAAACACAGCGATGTGGAGGAACTATTATTAATTCATCATTTTCTATTTCAGAGCTTTTTATACTATTCATATTGTCATTTTGTATATTGTATATACTGTATACCAAATCCACGTACCGCATGTACATAACACCTGTACATAATACTTATTTATTCCAGCATCCTTTGCACTATGCTCCTTCACACTGTGCACAGGCCTACATGTATGCATGTAAGGCAGACTGCTGTCCCAGCCCAGCTCCACCAAACAGATTTAAAAACTCTTTCGTCCCCCTGGCCATCAGACTGTACAACAGCTCCTAGTCATGGCAGGGAGGACTTTAGACTTTGGAGGACTCTATTTGCACTGTTTACTGTTTTGCACTGTTTACTGTGGCTACTGTGTTATAACTTAATTTTATTTTAATTTATTATTTTATTTTAATATAGGTTTAATGTATGTTTAATGTATGTATGTTTCATATGCCACTGGATACTTGAATTTCTACATTTATTTTGTTTATAGTGTGTATGTGTGTTCTCTATACTGTAGCCTGTGTGTGATTTTATTGTTGTATTATTATTATTATTGTATTGTAAGTAAGTACATCGTCAGCATTGTACAATTCTGAGTCAAATTCCTCGGGCATCTGTATATACTATACGTTCATATTTGTTTTCTTCTCCATTGCATTGATCAAAGCAAGTGCAAGGTAGCAGAGCAACAATGAGGAATATCACAAATTGGGGTGTCAACCTGTGAGACAGGTCAGGTGTGAAAACCTGTCTGCTTGGTAGGGCAGCCATGGGACTGACAGGACAGGCCGGACTGCTCAGGAAAGCAGTTTGGGCAATGGAGGCTGGACCAGCAGTGGTCTGCCCAGATGCTGCAGCAACAGGTGGTGTTACAGACACAAGCCACAGAGCCACAACAATCTTGAGGAACATCATCAGTGACATCATACATCAGCAAATGTGTTGATAATGTGGTGATCACTAAACATAAAACCACAACCATAAAGGTGAATGGAGAAGTTAGGACTCTAGCCAGGTCAGGTGATAAGAAAGCATAAAGCACCGCCAGAGCGAGACTGAAAGCTGGTATCAAGGATGCAAATCGGAGACATCAGCAGAGGCTGGAGAGAGGCCTCAACACCAACAACACCAAAGATAGGCAGCAGGCAATCAAAAACCTCACAGGCTGTAAAAGCAGGAGCGCCCTCCCATCATGTGCAAGGCCATGTTACCAGATGAGCTAAATACATTTTATGCTCAGTTTGATCTCCTCAACAAAGAGTCAGCTGCAAAGTCTACTCCACCTCCAGAATGACGGTCACTGTCAGTATCCACAGCAGATGTGAGAAGAGAACTGAATAAATATGAGTAAAGCTGCTGGGCTCGATAACATTCCTGGCCATGTAGTAAAAACATTTCAACATATCACTGTCACAAGAGAGTGTTCCTTCTTGACAGACAGCCAGCATCATCCCTGTGTGCCACACACTGGTAAAGAAAACTCATTAAAAGCTGTATTTCTTAAGGAAATTTTAGAAGGATAAATTCCCATTCAAAGTTCCAACTTGTTACCTTTTACAAAGGAGCAATAAAGCATCCTGACATCACAAATTGGGGATGTTCATGCCACAAGACCAGAAGGCTCTTCAGCAGGTGATAAAAACCACTCAGGAGATCATTGGTACCCATCTACTGAGCATCAGTGATTGAGTTAAGGTGTCTGAACAGAGCCCAAAGGATACTAAAAGTAGGTACCCACCACAGCCACAGCCTGTTCTCTGGAGCCTCTCGAGTCAGTTGTGAAAAATGTTGCACAAACTGCTGAAAAATTATGGACACCTCACATCCTTTGCACAAACTACTGGTCGGACAACAACTCTAACTCTTCAGTCAGAGACTCCTTCAGCTCCGCAGTAATAAGGGGCGCTACAGGAAATCATTCCCGCCCACTGCAATTAAAATACATAATGCCTTCCCTCAGGGCAGGGAGAGGAGACTTATTTCTTCCAAATGACAATTCACAGTGCACATTATACACTCATTTGCACTTTTACTCCATTTATGAGGAACATACAAGCATCAATAAATTAAGAGATCTACATGTGATAATAGATACTAGTAAGAGCAGCAAGAAATACTAGTAAGATTAGCGCATACGGCATCAATGGGATAAATACCTAGGGGAAGAAGTAAGAGTTAACAAATAGTGCAATCAAAAAGTCCCTGCTCTGATGGCATGTGGTAGCTTGTTCCAACATTGTGATGTGACAGATTAGAACAGCCGGGGCTGAGATTGTTTCGTGTGTAGGGATGGCAGAGCCAGGCGGTGTTCGTTGGAGAAGCACAGTGGCCGAGAAGAAATGTAAGCTTGTATTATGGAGTTTAGGAAGATGGGTGCAGGCCCAGTAGTCACTCTGTATGCAAGCATTATTGACTTGAATTTGATTCGGGAGGCCACTGGTAGCCAGTGGAGGTCGCTGAGTAATGGGGTGACATGAGTCCTTCTGGGGTATTTGAAAACTCGACGTCCTGGTGCGTTCTGAACCATTTGAAGGGGTGCTTGGAGGGCACTGCAATAGTCGAGGAGACAGGAGAGATAACCATGGTCTGTAGCAGAAGCTGGGGGGTGTACTGAGTAAGGTAGAGCCTGATTTTTCTTATTTTGTATAGAGCAAAGTGGCACGGCAGAGAGACAGCGGTGACATGGTCATCAATTATGACACCCAAGTTTCTCACCACCCTGGTTGGAGTGATGATCTATATTCATCCTGCTGCTGTCTCGCATGAGATACAGAAGTTTTTACTGTTGTACTACCAGACTTCAGAGATGGTTCCTCCCCCAGGCTGTTGAGACTACTAATTTATCCCCAGCACCTTACCATGAAAATGTTTTATTTCTGTCTTATTTGTTCACCCTTCTACTATACACAATTTTTGTACATAACATGTTTTTGTGAGTAGGATAAAGGGAACTACAACTTAATCTTGTTACAAAACAAGGTACAATACCTTGTACCTTGAAATGGTATAAATGCTGTGGAGGCAAGGCAACATGAATAATCTATCTGGAAATGGATGTTAAGAATTTCTGTATACATATATAGTGGAACGATGTTTTTACATTCATCTACATGAGTGTGGACATGAGTTAGGTCAGGGAGCCTCTCCATTAAAATGGTAAATGAGGACAGTCACAGGAGGAACGTCAGCAAGATTTGTGGCTAAATGTTTATGTATCCATGTCACGTGCCTCTGTCTTATTAAAAACAAAAATCTATAAAAAAAAATATTATGGAACACAATATGATAGTTAGAATTTCAGGTTTAACAAAAGACTGTATAGGCTACAATCTATGGTATTTAAAGAAATGTACAAAATTATGTACAGTGGGTGTCAAGGAATGGTAAATATCATAACAGCACATCCTACACCATGTAACAATTATTAATTACTGTAAAAAGAAATAAAATAGCTGTAAATAAACTAAATTTCTATTTAATGAGGTATCTGTAACTGTATTGGAAGACAAACATTTTTGAATAACGTTAAATGCTGTCTTACCCGCAGTTAAATGACAGTTACAAAACAAATAGTATTAATTTCCTTTATGAAATTGATACTATATAGGTCTGGGACGGGTTTAGCCTAGCTAAATAGTTAGCTAGCATAAATGAATGGCTAGCATATTCAGAATTAGGCTATTTACTACACATTCAAATAACAACAACAACTGTACTTTACACTTGTGCATTTTATAGTTGTTGAAATGAAAAACAAGACATAGTTTGAAGAGCAATTGGTTGCTTACCAGTTGGAGCAATTTCCAGAACACTTACAGCTAGCATAGAATTAAGTTAGGATTAAGTTGCCTAACGTTAGCTAGTAAAAAAAGTGCATAAGATGATTTTGGAGTTGCTGGAAGATGTATTTTTTTAAACTTAGAAAGCCTAACACTATGTAGTCTTACTGTTAAAATAGGCTGAAGGTGAATTAATACATGTTTGGCTGCTATGGGCAGCAGAACTCCATTACGAGCTGACAGACACAGTTCTGACATGTAGCCTTAAAAGTTCTTATGCTAACGTCTTAGCACATAATTGCCTAACTTTACATCCAACAGACACGGAGCAACATTGCAATCATGTTTGTCATGCTCTTGCAGATAATGTTAGGATTACAGTCACTTCTTTGTTAAAAACAGCTGCCTGTGAATGGGGTTGAAAAGAATGAGACCCAACCAACCATATGGTAATCCTGGGCCGTAAAACAAGAACTATAATGACTTTATTCAGTGATACAGAGAGGGACCTTTCACAGAACAGAAATAAACTTTTTAGTGCTCTCTGGTGTACAAACTAGCTATGTTTCTAAACTATCTCAAACACATCTTTGTAATTTTTCTGCGTCAGTTTCTTGTTAACATGTATAGAGGTAATTTTACCCAAAATTAAAATTAAAATGGAAAATGTACTCACACTTGGATATTGAAATGACAGATTGCTAAATCACAATATCAGTTTGTCATTTAAAGATACAATTTTCCAATTCGTTTTTCTTTTTGACATTTAGTTATGACCTGAATAGTTTATTTGCAATTTTCTTTTTTAATTTTAAATTTTCACTTTTAATTTAAATCCTGGGCAAGATTATCCTTCACAGGACATGCCTGCCAATACAATATAATAAATGATAAGTTCATAGGCTACTGGTCAAAATATAATTTGGCCTCCAATTAAAATGCAGATAGTTGCAGGACAAACAGGTTCCTTTAAAGCCCCAAACACCCATAGTCCACTCAGACAGGTATTTTCACTTGTGTTTCCCGATTAGACTTTTCTCAAGACTGTGGGGGTGTATAGACAATTGTACAGAGGCCTCTAAATATGTTTACACAAGAATACATAGCTATTTTTCCAATATTTTAATCTTTGTTTTGGACATGTACAATTATTTATTTAAAAGGGACAGCTTTTCAGCATAGCTTTTCAGCAATGTAGGAGCGCTTGTAGAAGCAGCAGCCGGTAGCTCCTTCAAACTTCACTACACTTTTGTTTTGTCTTGTGTTACCTCTGACATAAGTACAGTCACTGGAAGATGAAGACGGGTTTTTGGATTAAAGAGCAGCAGACCACGATCCACCTGGCCCAAACAACCAGACCAGGCTCCACGGCGGGTGCAGTGAGGAATGACAGCCAGGAGAGGAGCCATGCTGGCCCAGCTTTAATTCTGCTCCTAAAGAGCCAGTTTGGACAAAATGGGACTCATATTGACCAAGCAACGGAAGTCAGAGACTGCTGTGCCCACATCGTTACAGAGACCTGCCCTATCAACATTGGTATGCGTTCCATGTTCCGAGCTGCCAGCCCAAGACTCTGGCAAGATAAGAGGAGGTAGACTCTGTGTTTTACATCGCTGATGCTTGGTGCACAAACACAGTCAAGATGGATTCTGATTCCCAAATGTCAGACTGTTTATTGTGAAGATGAAACTTTCATACTATCATCTGGTTGCTGCTGTTTACATTCACCCCATGCAAATTCAAAAAATGCACTGTGGAATATTCAGGGTGTGTATACAGAAAACATTGTTTAAATTTATTTTATATGTTACCATATTTTAACATAGGCCTACACTTAATTATATGTTGAGTGTGTAGCACGAAGGAACTACAAATTTTGTTTCGTTATGCAGCCTTGTGCTGTATAACGAAATTATACATGTATACAATTATGTATTGGGTTAAATGTATACGATTAACCCAAGGCTATTTTCCATCTGTATTCCCCGGCAGGTCGTCACAAGGTACAAAGTAACGCAGTTAAACATTAAATTATATATATAATACAACACAATTTAAAAGACACCACAGTTTTGTAGACAGGGAGGTGTTGTTTATGCGGTAAAGTGGCATTCTATGAAATTAAGTACAAATTATTTATATTAAAGTGCTATTTAATGCAGTAAAGTGCTGCATCTATTACAATTTACAAACCCATAGGCTACACATACAATACAATGGCTAAAGCTGGGGTAAGTCAGACATTCCCTAACCGCAGGCAATAACTTGTTCCAGATCTATGTTCCCTTAACTGACAATACAAATTGTCCAAATGTTGTACATCTGTCTTCTTAGTGGGGGGTGGAGCAAGTCCTTGTAGGATCTTATTTAAACTTCAAAAAATGTTATGTTTCTGCAGGATTAAGCAGTAATGAAAAGAAAATGGTTTCAGGCTTGTTTGAAAAGTGACTCTATTGGTTTGTGTGCTGTAGCATTTGTAAGTGACCAATAGTATAATAATAACTACATTAAACTTGTTAGGGAACTACATCTACATCTACACAGCCATCCAAACAAAAGCACTCGAGCTGCACTGTAGAGCGTGACAAATGAAACTGAGTGCATTTATTCAAGTACTCTACTTAAGTACAATTAGGAATTATGTGCTTGTACTTGAGTACTTTACATGGCACTGCTTTTGAGACCATTGATCACAACATCATGTTAGACAGACTGAGGCACTGGGTGGAGGTGTCTGGTACTGCCTTACAATGGTTTTCATCCTAATTGTCAAATAGGAAGTTTTGCGTGTCTGTAAATAACTATGTCTCTTTGTTCTGTCCAGTTAAATATGGTGTGCCTCAGGGGTCGGTCTTAGGACCCATTTTGTTTTCCTTGTATCTTCTTCCCCTTGGACATATTATCCATAAACATGGTATTTCTTTTCATATGTATGCTGATGACACACAAATGTACTTGCCCGTCAGATCCACAGACCCTGGAATGCTGAGTTCACTTAACAACTGCCTTTAAGAAGTTAAAAATGGATGTCAAATAATTTCCTCCAGCTGAACTCAGACAAAACAGAAATCCTGGTCATTGGGTCCCAGCACATGACAAAACAAATACTGCCATCGTCTGGTTCCCTAGTAAATCACATTAAGCCTGTTGCATGTCCTTGGTGTTTGGTTTGATAGTAATTTAAATTTTGAGCTGCACACCACAAAGCTTGTTCAATCATGTTTTTATCAACTTAGAAATATAGCAAAAATTCGATCTATGTTAACTTTTAAGGACACCGAGACCATTTTACACACCTTCATCTCATCACGCCTGGATTATTGCAACAGCCTTTTCACCTGTTTAACCCCTGCCTGAGGAAATCAGGTCGGCTGAGTCAGTGACTCAGTCAATGGCATCAATGCTTTCATCATCCAGGAGGAACCCAGGGATCACTGCACCAGCAGGTCTGACAAGGACTCTGAGGATTTCATCCTGGTACCTAACACCCGGTACCGTTGCCAAGCATGTGGAGGTCTGTGCAACCTTTCAAGGATATGCCTCCTCAGACTATCATTGACCCAGCACCAAACCGGTCATGCTTGATAATATTGCATGCAGCATAACGTTCACCACAGCATCTCCAGACTCTTTCACATCTGTCACATGTGCTCAGTTTGAACCTGCTCTCATCTGTGAGGAGAATGGCGCACCATTGACAGACTTGCCAGTTCTGGTGTTCTGTGGTAGTAAATGTCAATTGAGCTGCACAGTGCTGGGCTGTGAGCACAGATCCCACTAGAGGACGTCTGGCCCTCATGCCACCCTCATGGAGTCTGTTTGGTCAGAAACATGCACCAGTAGCCTGCTGGACGTCATTTTGGAGAGCTGTGGCAGTGCCCCTACTGTTCCTCCTCGCTCAAAGGAGCAGATACCAATCTTGCAGCTGGGTTGATACCCTTTTCGGCCCTGTCCAGCTGTTCACTTATAATGGCCTGTCTCCTCTTCTCAATGCTCTTGAGACTGCGCTGGGAGACACAGCAAACCTTCTTGCAACTATACGTATGGATTGACTACCTTTTCAACTTGAATGGGCTGCAAGTGTAACCGTCTGCTCCAGAGAACACTGCACGGTCCTGTCTCAAACCGGTGACCTCAGGTACAGGAGGCTGGACACGCTGACGAGGAGGCAAAAACCCATGGGACCTTTTGGGGGTTGGCTTGCTATTGCCTCTCCAGTGCACCTGTTGTCACTTTCATTTCCGCCAACACAAGTGACACTGATTCACAATCACTTATGCTTAAGTGGACAGATTTATATCCCTAAAGCTTAATTGACATAATGTTATACTGTGATGATTAAGTGTTCCCTTATTTTTTTTAGCATAACATAGACATAGGCAACTCAAGTAAAGTACCTAAAATTAGTCTAATCTACTTAAACCACCCACCACTGATTGACACTGTCACTATCATTATGTGTTACAAATCATTTGATAACTCAACTCATGTAAACTCAACTCAAAATTTCTTCTCAAATATATTAAAAACATACAGAGGTGAGAAATATTGTTCCTCCTTGGCCCATGGTGCTACATGACACAGACAATAACTATTTCTTTAACAAGCGCAAGAGAGAATATATATAGATCCACAGGAAAGTAAATTATATATATATAACTTTTTGTAGTGCAAATGTGATTATGGCAAATGTTCCGTTTCAGATAGTTTGAAGGTCGGTACTGGTGTAAACAAGTGTTTGTACAGGTTTTTGAGTCTTTGTGCCTGTGTGCTTGTATATTAAATTTTTGAAGAAAAGTGTTTTTAATTTTTTCATGATTTATTTTTTTGCATGTCTGTATATGTGTGTCTGTAATCAGTTACCAAATAAAAATCAAAAACAATATGTGCTTTCAAGTGCAGACTAACGTTTCACCTCGATCTCCCCTGTATTGTGAATTCACAGATCCACTCTTTGAACATTCCACATATATTTGACTGTGTTTGAATCCTCATTTCACTTACAAATATTAATTCTTATGCGCATACGGGAAGGAACATAGTGTTTGTATGAAGCAACACACCTCTAAAAAAAACCAAAGATTAAAATTGTATTCCTGTATCCACATATAAATTGATTTTTATGCCAGTTAAGCCACCCTTGACACCCCCGGCAGAGACACACAGTTAGTATGGGCCTTAACGGTTGCTCGAGCGATGACGCTTCATTCTCAATGGTTTATTTTAGCTCCTGTATTTTTCCTGCTCCGCGTTACATTTCCCCCCTCCGTGGCGTTACACACATTTTATTTCACCCCGGGAGCAAACGCTAGCTTTCCTATCAGCTCTGCTTGGATATTAATCGCCTTTTCCGTCATATTATCGCTCCTGCATGCCGCTTCCCCGCTGTTTTTAGTGCATATAGATGTATTTTGTGTCCCTTGTTTCCTCCAGTAACCCATGTCTGTGTGCATCCCGCCTCCCTGCGCTCTCAATAGATGGTGCAAGTCAAAATGTCCAAATCGCCCGTAGACCCACTGTCCGCTGTGGAAACAGCCTCTCAGTCGCACTATTTTCAGGTAAATCCACACACTTTGCTCTGTCGTTCACACACCTTTAACTATTATCACTGCCGAGTTAAAGTGCGGTGGAGGTAACGTTATAACGGTTAGCTAACGTCTTGCTACTTGTTGTTGAAATTGAGGCGTCGCGTTTTGGCAGCGAGCTACTTTTTCTTTCTGTCTTTCTTTAACCTCCGCCACTGAAACTGCAGATTGATGCTTGCGAAATGCCAGTGGATGCGATAATAAAGAAGGCTCAAATATGCTCATTATGCCGCTCATACACAAACAGGATTAAAAAAATAAGATACATTTGCTGTTTGAGATCGGGCCTTTTATGGATTCTGTATTAATGATGTATTATTTATTTCAATCGCATTTCCTGCTGCGCTTTATTTACACCAGTGTAGGAAAAACAGTAACATGATTGGGCTTGTATGCTGAATTTTTCTGGTAAAAAGATACAGACAGACCATGACTCTGACTCACCTGTAGCATGAATCTACAGGGCCTGCCACCTCACACACCCCGCAACATCCATGCTTTCTTATTAATGGACTCAGAGGCCTGAGGAAATCTGTTTCCTGCATTGGACAGACCAGCATGTGCAGCTAGATGAATTCAGTCCTGAAATATTTGCAAAGCTACAGCTGATTGTAGTGGCCACTCTCCTCCACAGCAGCTCTTTTACACCAGTTCTCCCAAATTGGGGCTTATATTTAGTCAAAATTACAGAAAATCCTTAAACCTGTGTATGTGTCTCCCTCTCTCATAACAGCTGCCCAGGAAGTTGCCTAAACGCAAGAGCCGCTTCAAACGCTCAGATGGCAGCACGTCCTCTGACACAACATCCAGCTTCATCAAACGGCAGGTAAAAGCCCTCCAAACATTTGTTGGCTTCTCTTTGCATGTTTATGCATGAATTGTAGTCTACATCATGCCCTGGTACATCACTGTCACAGGTACATTATTACTCTTGGAGGGAAGAACTGTAGACTGCTTCTATGGGAACTGTGGGAAAGTTGTGCTCTTGAGTCTGAATAAAGCTAAATAGATTTAAATTTGCTTTTTAATCAGAACAGATGTTTCTGCATTGTTTTGATGGCATTGGTGAGATGCGTATATTATTTTTCAGTTGGTAGGGAATCAAGGTTCTTCTTCTTTTGGACTCACAGTTGTCACAAAAAGACATTTGTAGTTTTGCATTTATTATCCTTCCATCCAGCATATGACTATTTCTGCTCTTCATCTTCACCCAGAGAGCTCCTCTCCTCAGTTACAGTTGCTGTTTTGCCCAGTAGAGAGCAGCAAAATGCTGAAAAAAGGGGCAGTGTGTTACATCAAAATCCCAACACAGCCCAGTTATTTTAATTAATGTTTTCAGGTCAAGCACGTGCGGTAGACTGATGGAGATTTGGTGTTATTTAAGATGATCTCTAACTGGTAGGGGAGGGGGTGCAAAGGAGGTTTCTAAGCTTTTCTGAGATTCTCCTCATGCTGAATAACCTTGATCAGCGGATTTGAGTGTGTATAATCAAAACAGTTTTGTGTTTTTTCTGACGATGGATTTGATTTGATGTGGGTGTTGGTGTAAAGCAGAGCGGCTTGTAGTTTCACAGAGAGCCCAGCAGAGGGGAGAACTTAATCCTTGCACAAATCAGGTTGTGAGGAGTCAAGAGGTTTCACAGGGCTACAGATGGAAACTGTGAATGCAGAGCTCATCCCAAAACTGCCAGATCCCTGAGGTTCATGAGCCTCATCGAAGAGGGAACGTCAGGAGTTGGGAAGGATTCAAATATTCTTTCTCAAAAGGAGCCCAGTTTACCAATGACAGAAACTACATGGCTCGCTCTGTAGTCCTGCAGGCTTTTACACCATCTGTAGAATATGTTCCAAGTAGCCATTTAGTCCTGATTTATTAACCTCTAGTTGAAACATTGGAGAAGAGGATAGAGTGGATTAGAATCGAATAAAACTATATTGTTCACCAAGGTGGAAAATTGTCTTTGGCTTGTCTAGCAGTTCATTAAAACATACACACACATCACATAACAACACACAGCATGGAGTAGTTGATTAATTGATTGATTGATGGACAGAATATGAATCTACAACTCTTTTGGTAATTGATCAATAATTTAAAGTAATTTTTCAAGTAAAAATACCATTTCTCATGTAGTAAACTGATCGGATTTTGGGTTTTGGACAAGCAATTTAAAGACGTCAGTTCTGACTTAAGTTCTTTACTTAGGTAAAATGCGATTAATATTTTTCCCTGTTGTGTGACTTTTTGTAGACCAACCAATTGAATCGAGAAAATAATCAGCAGATAAATCAATGATGTTAGTGGAACCACTCAAGTGTTTGAACCAGCTTTTGTGTGGATTTGATCAACAAAATCCTAAAATTAAAATTTGAAAGTGTAGATTGATAGGAAAAAAGTTGCAATGCCTCTTCAATAGAATAAAGTAGTGCTGAAGCGATTAGTCGATAGACTGTGTAATGTTTGACAGACTAAATAATAGAAATGAAAAGGTAAACTAATATAGTCAATAAAGCGCCCCCATACTTATTTCAGCACACTCAGATGTTTTACTGCTCCAGCTTTACTTGGTCTGGTATCACCAGTAGCCTATTGTGGCTAATACTAGCTAATGTTAACAAACATAAGAAACACTGTGTAACTGACATTAGTAAGGCTGTTCCATGATGTTTTAGCACTTTACATTGTTCCTTAATTGTGTATAAAATGTCAGAAAATAGTGAAAACGGATAGATTTGCTGTCTAACAAATAGTGCTACACTTCAAATATCAATATCAGAGCTGAAACTTTAAGTTGAATAATCACTGAGTTGATCAAAAGAAAAAGGAATCTGCAACTATTTTAATCATTGATTAATCACTTAAGTAATTTTTCAAGCAAAATAAAAGCCAATCCTTGTTCAAACTTTGCCACTGTGAGGATGTGCTGATTGTTATTTTTTTTTACATATTAAATCATAGTAAACTGAAAATCTCTACATTTTGCAGCAATTTTAGGACGCCTTAAGACTTGGGCTCTGGGAACAAGTGATAGTTGTCTTTCACAATTATCTGCTGATTAGTTGATAATAAAAATAAATGGTCGCAGCCCTATATCAACTGTTGTATTTTTGTATATTTGATATGTTCAATATTCAATTCAATAAAACAATTTTCTACAATTTTCTTGAAACAAATTTCTTTGGTAAATAAACAAGTTTTCAAAAATGCAGCGTTTGTCCACTACAACTAACAATTATTTTCCTAATTATTATTTTCATACATTAATCTGCTGATTACTTTATTGATTACTTGTTTAGTCTATGAAACATCAAACAGAAGTGCTGGAAAAACACTCATCACAACTTCCCAGAGCCAAAATTGATGTCCTTAAATTGCTTGTTTTATCTGACCAACAGTCCCAAACCAAAAAAGAATTCATTTACTATCAGCTATGACACAAACAAGGTGCAAATCCTCATATTTTTGAAGCTGGAACCAGCAAATATTGGACATTCTTGCTTGAAGGGAAAAAAAGACTCAAACAATGAATCATTAATAGTTGAACAGAAAGTAGAAAGTTTAAAAGAAAATCTGGGATTCAAACATGATGAAAAATGCCTGTATTTCATGCAGCGCACCATTACCGTGAGGGTGTATGGAGCAATGTAACAGAGGGATGTTAGTGAGGAGAAGCAGGAAAATGGGGCTGAGCAGACATCTTCTTCAGGAGGGCGACATTAGTTATCCTGATCGGGGGGCTTAATGAAAATCTCCAGATTCCCTGAGAATATTGCACTGCATAAAATATTCATGATTCTCATTTTGAAGGCCTCAGGCGATTTGATGTGTGGGTTCATTGTTCACATGAGCACCTTTTAGTTTCTTTATGATCATTATCTTCTCTCTGCACGCACAACAGGCGCACCCCCCAGCCCCAAATAGGTGATATGACAAAGTGTTTTCTGCAGAAGGAGTAAAATTTACAAACAGAGCAGATAGTTTCTTGTCTGTGATAGGGGTGGGGTGTCTATGGAGGAGCAGTGGAGTATGACTCATTTCTGCAGCAGGATACAATAAGCAGTATGTGTGGATGTATGTGTTATATGTAGGACATGTAAGCTTTGAAACGGGAAGGGAAATCTTGAGCCGTGTGTGTGATTATAACAGCAGTTTCTTCTTTGTTTCCTCTCCACTCTGTGGATGTTGGATTGGACTTTAATGGAAATAAATAAGATTGGGATGTAAATTTAGAGAAGTGGTTTGAAGTGACGCAAAAGCTGCGTTGGTTGTTGTTGTGGGGTGGGTGGGTGTGTGTGTGTGTGTGACAGCTGGGATGGGATGAGGTGGGGTAAGAATAGAAAAGAAGGTGTTGCCGGCTCCAGTGCAGGTCGTCCCCATGTTAGGGGATGGGACGCAGTACAGTCTGTCTGCATTTCATTTTACAGCATGTAGTGTATAGAGGGAGGGAGGGACCGGCAGCAGCAGCAGCAGCATCACCACATTAACTGAGTAAGTACAAATGACTCTCGACACAGTCTTCTTCTGCCTGTCTGAAACTCCTCCTGTCTCCCCCACATTTCTTTGTAGCATTTCCATGGTGTTGTCGCTGCTCCTCTCTGTTTTCCTTTGTCTTCCTCCTTCCCCTTGCCTCCCCTCTTCAACAAATGCTTTTGTTTCTCTCATTCTGTCACCTGCTTTACTTTTTGATTACCCATGTGCGTCTTGTGATTGATCAATTTAACATACAGTGCCTGATCTTGACTTTGATATTGATGCAACCACAGAGTGATTTATTGCATTGTGTATCAGCGAGCTCTGTGCATGTGTAACTTGCTGACATTGAATTACAATTGCATTGTTAATCGAACACTTTTTGAAATTGGATATTTGGCAACTGGATTTCCAAATCGCTGGTGTGCAGCTTCTTTTTTTTTTTGCTTTGAGGGAAATGTGTTTCAGCCTCCTGAATAATATATTCTGTTGTTGTGCAGAATCTCCTTTCTGCAAATAAAGCCCGATACATTTTAGTGTTAGCATTAACCTGCATTCCCTGCATTTTATTTTACATATTTTCAAAGGAGCATACATTGTTTTGGGTTTTTAATCCATTTATTACAAATCGGTATGCAGTTGATTTTTGAGTTGGGTATCTCCTGCTATGCAGGTAGCCTACCCATTGTTTTTTAACCATGCTAGGGTTGTGGCTCTAGGGCTGACATTATCGTTCTGTTAGTCAGTTAAGCACTTTGGTTTAGACTTAAATATCTCAACTGTTTGATGGATTGCCATGAAATTGTGTGCAAACATTCATGGTCCTGAGAGGATGAATTGTGATAACTCTAGTGATCCTATAATTGTTCATTCAGTGACATCATCAGGTCAAACATTCAGTTTCTTCAATACTAAAGTTTATGCCCAAATATCTGTAAAAGACAATGACACTCCCATCAGCCTCAGCTCCAACATGCTGAACTAAGATGATGAACATGATAAACAGTACACCTGCTAAACATCAGCATGTTAGCGTTGTCATTATAAGAAAAAAATTGTTTCCATGGCATGCATGCATTTAGCTCAAAGCACCAGTGTGCCTAAAGGGGCCAGTATGTTTCAACATAAGTGCTCTGTTAGATGGTCGAACGTCTTTGGAACCCAACAACCTTCTGACGTCAGAATTTGGGGGTGCTGCGTCCAACAATGTCCATAGCTTTCTAAAACCGACAATGCGACATTCAAACCTATTTCATGCTGCGATTGGCCAGCTGTGAAGAGGTAGCTCTCTGTTTTCAACTTTCCATGTCAACAAAGAGTGCAAAACTATGAGTGCCTCTTGTATAACGTACCAC